AACAATATGTGAAGCTGATGGGATGCCAATCTGTTGGGGATGATAGATCCCCAAAACTCATATTTTTTAATTTTAATCTTATTAAATGTTTAAATATTTGTATGGGGGTCAATTGATGAACTATCGATTAAATGTGCAGATAGGTCAATTGATGAACTCACTGATTAATGTTTAAAAAATTTTCATGACAATATCGATCGCAAATATTTGTATAAATACACTTGATTATTGCATGCTTGACCTGACTTGTTATCTGCTGTTTGTCTGTAGAATACACTTTTCTACACTTTAACCAGATTTCTTAATCGAGTTAGCAGAGTCGGGGACAGCGAACCACAATAGCTATCGAGTTTCTGAATCATTGACCCTCCGTTCCGTTCGAGTAAGACGAATCAGTAGTAGCCTTCAAGCTTAACGAATCATTACACAATCAATGACACCTATCAACGTGTTGAACGATGGGTAGAGTTTTCCGAGGAGCTATTCAACTGGTCTCGTGCTCCGGTAACATCGATCAGACTGTCCTGCCCTCCATAGCCTGTGACGACTGATCCATCAAATGAGGCGGAATTCCACAGGGGATTCCAACTCTTGAAGCGCTACAAATTACCTCCGTCCCATTTTGAAGATTGCGGTGACCTGGTTAAGGAACTGAATGAAATGTTTACAAAGGTCTAGCAGTTCGAGAGTGGTTCAACATCATGGAATGAGTGGTTAGTTGTTCCTATCTTTAAAATGGTTCACGTCGTTTCTGTAACAAATATGTGGGGATAAGTCTACTTCCGATTGCGTCCAAACTATTGGCTTCCGTCATTCTTTGTTGGTTGGTCAAAACACGAGAAAGATGGACTCGCGAGGAGCAGGCCGGTTTTCGTTCTGGTCGAGGATGTATTGATCGTATCTTCATCCTTCGCCAAATGTTAGAACACTGTCATACTTTCACAGGCCAACAATCGTAATGTTTTTTGAAATCAGGGCTGCCTTCAATTAGCTGGACAGGACTGTTGTCTGGAATCGTCTTTTGAAGAAGAGTGTGCCTGAGAAGTTTATTAACATTCTAAAAACCCTATATACAAACACCTCAGGCAGAGTGAGGGCATACAACCACCTCTCTCCATTGTTCCATTCGAGTAGTGGGGTTAGACAGGGGTGCCCAATCTCACCATTCCTCTTCAACTTTGCCATCGATGACATTCTGGAAACAGCTTTGATGGATGTAAGTAATGGTGGTGTGGATCTGTTGCCTGGAGAAAGACTTCTCGATCTTGAGTGTGCGAATGATATTGTCCTACTGTGTGATAATGCTCAAGCCATGCAATCCGCACTTAATCAGTTGGCAATCAGTGTCCGTAGGTGTGGTATGAGCTTTGCACCTTCGATGTGCAAAGTACTTCTACAAGACTGGCAGGATCGTAATCCTGTACTCACCGTGGATGGTGAGCAGATAGAAGTAGTCGAGATGTTCGTGTATCTGGGTAGCTGCATAAGTGCTGGTGGAGGTGTGAGTGATGAGATCGATTCACGTATAGTGAAAGCCAGAGCGGCTTATGCCAATCTGGGCCATCTTTGGCGCCTTCGTGATGTTAGTCTGGTTGTAAAAGGTTGGATGTACAACGCGTCGGTGAGAGCAGTTTTGCTCTATGCTTCTGAGACTTGGCCTCTCCGAGTCGAGGATGACTCTCTGTGTTTGATCATCGTTGACTCCGAAGAGTTACTGACATCCAGTGGCAACATCATGTTAGTAATGCAGATGTTAGGCATCGTGTGTTCGGGCACAGCGACGACAATCCAATTAGTTTCATTATCTTGAAACACAGACTTTGGTGGTTTGGACATGTACTACGAATGTCATCCCACATCGTGCATTATTTGCCGACGCCGGGACTGGTTGGAAAAAGCGGAGAGGTGGTCAGTGTATGACATGGTACCGTGTTATGTGAGAAAGCTATACAGGACTGGCTTCTATTGGTCCTTCACGACTCCCTGGTTGGGGTTCTAGAGACTATGCATTACAGTGGCTAGAGACGTTATCAGATATGGCTCAGAATAGAAGCCAGCGGAAATCCTGTTGTAACTTTATTTTACTCTCTTCATAAAAAATGGACGTAACTCCTTTAACTGGCAGAATTCTTTCTGGTTGTACCTTTTCTAACTGAACTGCTTCTTCAATTATTATTATTTCACTATCAAACACTGATTTCTGTTTGTTATTGTTCTCTTTTTTCTTATACGCACCTTAAATTCTCTATCTCTTCACATTCTCACTGTTATTGTGTGGCGCATATGTATTTAGTACCCCTTTGTGCCAATATTTATGTGTTCAAATGAATAATAAATAAATAAAATAAATTCTAGCTAATTCCATGTTCGAAACAGTTTTTACAGTGATGATGACATCTCTAGATTTTTTTAAGAAAGCTTGTGTTTCATTAATCTTCAAAATAACCAACACTCGTGCTTTGTTAATATATATGCCTTTAGTCTAATATGGTCAATTTCCAGAAATATTTACCCCAAGAAATTACAGATAACGTTTCACAAGTTATTTGAAGACTATATACTAGATTTAATTCAAAATACGTCTCCAGGCAAATCAAAGAAATATCTGTGAAAAATAAACTGTTTAAGGATCACTGATTAAAAACAACATAGTGCTGTCTGTTTTGTTTTAAAAAAATACATCTCAATGATTAATCTGTGCAAATTTCCTGATTTGAGCACGAACTTAAATAAGTTTTATATTAAATAAACAAACTAAATTTAAGCAACCAAAAAGTTGCTTGAGGCATATATCTAATAAACATATACGTGATGTAGTAAAAGTATTTTATAAATGTGGTACTGATTATTGAATTAATTAAAAACCAATGAAGTAGTCTCATTGTATGATACTTGCAGATAATTGGTACAGAAAGTCTGTTAGAAACGGATCTTTCTGTTGTTCGAAACAAGTGCTTTTTTTTAAATGAGATTATATTCTATGAACTAAAGGATTTTTACAGCTTAAGTTTCTTGTTTGTGTTAGTCAACATTCTGAGGGAATTCCTTTGGATATTATTATTGAAGACTATTAAAGACTATCAACACGTTGCATTTTTCTTAGCGATCCTGACACTTGTGATTGAATGCTAAGAATACCTAAGAATGTCTTTTATTCTTATTGGCTATGCTTCACATCCTTAAGCTAGGACAGAGTGAACTATTGCTCAGTATTCTCGTCTTTGATCAACAGACGGTTTAGTGTGGTTCACCACTTTGGTGGCTGGATATCTGACACTCTTTCGAACGAACGAATGAATATTCAATGAATAGAAATCTATTGTTCAGTTCCGTATACTACACCTAGGCTGACTCCGTTTGCGTGACGGCCAAATATGGATTTAGTTGAATGAGTTTATTTCAGACATTCGTTTACTCAGACAGACACTAAAAATGAGAAGCGGAAAAGTCAGGTTCACAAAACTCACCTCGATATAGCGTAACTCCTTATTTATAATCAGATAGAAATAAACTAAAGACATGTAATGAATGAGGTGAGCGATGCGCACACATATTTTCACATAAAAACAGTTAAAGTTATAAGCAAATAATTGACATGGTCAAAACATGTGTGGATAATGACTAGATAAGAATAAATTAATTGGTTTGTACGAAAGCTGGAATAAGCCATGTAGGTGTCTCATAGTATTAAGCACTAGGAATTGTCTTACAGAATGTGAATCACAAAATCGGAAGTCGGAAATACTACAGCTAATTACATGTGAGGAAATATAAGCAGATATATATTTTACAGGGTTGTTATTAAAACAGTCAAATGCAATCTAAGTATAACCCGACCGTTGTTGCTACCTTGACGTGGTGGTCGGGCTTCCCTATCATGATGAACTAATCGAGCTATACTGCCTGGAACAATCATTCCTCAAGGTCCTACCATGCCATACAGGTCGGTTGAAGAGCGGTAAGTCTAAAAGCAGCAAATCCAAGGTCTGAGGGTGAAGTCGTACTGCTGACTGTGCAGAGGTGTGACGGCGGCAAGGTGTTTCTTTCAGACAACCAGCATAACACCGATGCTGCCTTCCCATAAGGAAGGGTGAGGTTAGAAAAGGTCGACACTAAAAATACACACCTCGCCTTATCCCACGGAGATCGTCTCCAGCGGTACGGTCCCAACAAGTACAGAACTAACACGAAGATTACTCACAAAAAGGTCGTGTGTGACCGACCTCAAGCAGTTGTCCTTTGGGCACAGCGGTTACGCTCTCAGGTCACTAAGATCACCTCTAATCCAATTTTGCTTTCAGGCACCTCCAGAAGAACCCTTCCAAGGTGTTGGCAACCGGGATGTGATAACTGCCCTCATACCTCTAACAGCACTCAACACCACTGTATTAATCTAAGTATAATCTAGACAGGATGTATTTGTTATCTAACCAAAAGTCTTAAAAAAAGGTAAAAACTAGTTCTAGCTTATTTTTTGAAGATAACAATTTCAATTTAGATTATCTAGTTATAATATCTTTATATACTCCTTATAAATTTTGTTCATCCCTTTTGCTTACACTTATCTTCTTGTTTATGTGCCATAGAAAACTATCGTGATTTTAAACAATGTAACTCTACATCCAATTCTTTTTTAATCTGTAAGCAATTTACAGTTTATTAATTTCTGAAATCAATGTACCAACTTGATCAAATCCAAAAAATTATGACTTAAGCTGTCAAAATTTCTGAATTTTATTAAACGTTCATAATATAAATCTTATATAGGAAAAAAGTTCAGAAATGATGAGTATAATTACTTTTTATCAGAAAGGGTTTTGTGCAGATTTTAGAAATTTCACTGATTGAAATCATGAGTCGATTGAAGCTAGACCACCATGGAAAACCTGGAAGCACTGGACGGCCGTTTCGTCCTAGTATGGGACTCCTCGCTTTCGCACGCGAGACTGACAGGTCCTGGGTTTGAATCTCACGGGGTGCGGGATCGTGGATGCGCACTACTGAGGAGTCCCATACTAGAACGAAACGACCGTCCAGTACTTCTTGGTTTTCCATAATGGTCAAGCTTCAATTGACTCATGATTTCAGCCAGTATAATTACATTTTACAAATCATTTGATATTTTCAAACCGGTGAAATAGTACTAAATAATCATATTATAACGAAGAACTTTATAGTATCTGCCTGTAAAATATATAGTTTTTTCTAAAAAAAAAAAGAAAACTTATACTGCATTTTTCAAATATCATTATCGAGTCACATGGAAACGGATAAAGAATGGAATAATTTAAAGAGAGAAAAAAAGAATTATATACTATTTGTATTATATAAGTAATATATAATGAAATACTTATAATTTTAAATTTGATTTTTGTTGACGTAAATAAGTTAATTCAGCTTGAAGTATTTTTAATTCTTTCGTTTGTTCTTTAATTTTTTTAATAATATTTTGATGTTGAATTAATAGTTTATGTCGAAGTTGAGGATTATTGAGATGATCACTTTTCATATCTAAATATAAAAGGAAACGGTAAAAAACAACAACAAATGGTTTGTAAATTAAAAGAAAAGTCATACTGTATTTTAGCGGAGAAAAAGTAAACTATCACACATTGAATGTATCAAGCAAATATTGACAATAAACTTTGAGATACCAAATATATAAGAACTTTTAAGTCAAAAGCTTTCTGAACAAAGATGGGTCAATTGCAGTCCTAAATAACAATGGGAAGATGCAAGTAAAACAACATCAAGTGAATTTAAACTCCATCCCATTGCACAAGCAGGTGGCTATCAGGACTCAATAGCTAAGTGGATAACGCGATGTCGTTGGGAGCAAACGGTATTGTGTTCGAGTCCCACAGTGAACACCAACTCTGAGGTGCAGATACATCCGCCTGACGAGTCCAAGATAGGACGAAACGTGTGTCCTGGATTACAATACTAGCCACTATCCATCTATGCTTAAAAAGCATGTGACTTAAGACTGTATCGAGGCAACCCTACAGGATGCACATATACCAATAAGAGACTGATTAATGGCAGTCCTAAATAACAACAAGAAGATACAAGTAGAACAACAAGTGAATATAAGAACTTTTGTCTAAATTTGATTGAATAGTTTCACAGTATTTGGGCGCTGAATTGATGTGAGACATTAATGTTTGAGATATTAACTTGTTGGCTAAATACCATTAAGTTAAAATAGTTATGAATTGTAGTTGTTTTAGGGGATGAAATGAACACATGAATAAATTATATTAACTAAAAACTTTAATCAAACAATATATATATTACAGACATTTGTTTTTTTTCTTCAAAATACCTTATGCCATCAATTTTTTGATCAGAAATGTGATTGAGCAGAAATTTTGTTTATACTAGTTACTATTTCAAGTAATTTCAAGAAATTTAACCAAAGCTCAAGTTGGTTACTGTTACCAAATATGTAATGATAGCCTACTGATAACTGTTGACTCTGGTGGAACAGAGATCGATGTAATGATAGGTAACACTTTTGTTCAACATGATCAACATTTTGACTGCTTTTAATAACAATAGTTCTCTGTATTTATTTAAGTTATGTATCATTAACACCTATATATCGCGAATAAAACTTGACAGAAACGGTAATAGGTGGGATTGAACTGATTTAATAAATAATTTTTTCAAAGAATATAAAAACAGGTTGTTCTATTAACATCATGAAAGGAGCATGTGATAGTGAAAAATGTGAGCTATCGCTTAGAAGACGATATTGTTGATCCTGTCAAAATTACTGAGTAATTACACTTACAGATGTGAATGAAGTAATGCACTCAAAATGTAAAGAAATAATTTTTTAATATTAACAATGTTATATTAATGAGGAAGAATGTATTTGTAAAATCTCAGCGAATGAATTTGAAGTAAATCCAACGTTTCGCCTAGCAATGTGATCCAAGCTTTTTCAAGGAATTATAATCAAACATCAAAATTATCGAATATAAATAAGTACATGGTTCTCTGGTTAACTATATACTAAATAGGTCATCTAATCAATGTTAACAATGTTTAAAGTAGATATTTGCTTTGGTGTGTAAGAGACATGTGGGGTAAAATGAAGTGTTACGAAAACAGATTGTGTGTATACGTAAGTGGTGTGAGAAGAAATTTCATTCACTATATATTGTATTTAATCGGTGAATTTTTAAGAAAAATATAATTTTTATATATGATATGAATTAAATGTCACAACATACATGTGTAGAGCTTCAACTGTTAGTCTTTCTTTATAAGAATTAAAACCATTTTGAAGGATTATTGTGCCGTTGAAATCAATTGTACAGTCCGATTTTATTGAGTCTAATGCTATCGCTGATTTGTTGTCGAGTTTTCTTACATCATCTGAGGATTTATGAATGTAGTTTAAGCATAGTTTGTGTTCCTTCACTCACACATTCAGTTGTCTTGATGTTTCACCTACATATGTGACATTACAGTCACTACATTTAATTTTAAATTTAGACGAAAGTTCTTATATATTAAAAGTGTCATTTCTCCAGTGGTCACAATTGTTCGTTGTTTCAGTTAATTTGTTACTACGCATAGTTGAAACAGGTCATAAGATTGATCTTAGCTGTAATGGTTTGTTACAAAAGTACTGAAGGTTTATTAAAGATTTGACCATATAAAAATTTAAATACCCTTTATGTGTTCAAAAAGTTTGTTCTCATCCTAAACTTACCCTGGAATTATTATTTCCCATTGTTTTTAGTACTATTTTCTTTACTAACTCTATTTCCTCTTACCTTTCACTTGTCTAGTTAACTTTTTCATTCCTCATATATAAATGATCTTGACAACTAGATGTATAATCAGAATGTTCGATGTCTTGCACATAGTTCTTATAATCTTCGTCTTCTTATTACATTGACCAAGTTTATTAGAGGAAGTGAATTTTTTAAATTTCTAATAGATTTATGGTATGTCAGTCATGTAAATCAAACAGACATTACTAACTATTTCGGTTAGGCCAGATGAAATTATTAAATAACATATTTTTTGTACTCGTATTTTTATCTTTCAAAAAACCTATTTCAGTTACCTGTAAATATCATCAATACTGTTTTAGAATTTAGCAGTCAAAAGTCCTAAGAATATCATACATGCCGATATCCAGTTGGATATATTTTCGGGGGTGATAATTGTTGAAAAAGAATGGCTCAAACTTAATTTCTGGGTTAATGATTGTGTTTCATTAAATAAACATCATTATATAATGTCCCCAAATAAAATTCAAAATATTCCCCTTAAAAATGTCATACGATGTGTGATAGCCTTAAGAATTAGACAATTAGTTAGTCGTGATAAATCAAATTCATATTTATCACGATATTTTATTGATGAAAACGGTAGAAACGAAGCTATGGTACTTTTTATTTGTCAGCACATAGGATCTCTTTCCTGATTTAAATACTGATAAATCATGAATCATGATAAGTATGGTTATACTGGCAGTCATTTGTATATAAATACACAAATTTATTGACTTCGCTATAAAGAACAAAATATGTACCAAAGTTTAATCACTATACTATTTCTGATCCCTCTTTTTTCCCCTACCATGTTCCTTGAAAACTAATATTCTTCTTAGCCTGTGATCCATATTATTTTGTTCTCGTAACTGTAAACTAGAAAGATAAATTTTGTTGTAACTATAATCCCACGATTTCTAAGATAATTACTAATTTGATTATACATCTTTTATATTTGCATGAAACAAATTTAACATAGTTTCATATATTATAAAGAATTACTATCATAACTTACGATTTTGTTCATGAATGAACTTCGTTTCATGTAAAACAACATTCATTTCTTCTATTTCTTTCTTGGCCTTTTCATTCTCTTTCTTAAGTTTTTCGCCTTGATGTATTTCATATTGGCGAAGACGAGCAAGTTTCTGAGCCATTGTTTTTTCGTGATTCTAATAAATAGTATTGATTATGAAATCATTATTTTTACTTCATGAACATTGAACAGTAATACAACTAGCCATCTTTAAACAACTATTATACAAAATATAAAGGATTTTGGCGGTACCATGGTATGTGCTTCTGTGGTTTGTAAGTTTGCATAGAATCAGAACTCATAATATGAATCGTAAATGTCACAGAGGAATCTAAATTTCTGATCATTTATACGATCATAAAAAACAAAATATTCACCAGACCAGGTGACCTAGTAAGGTAATGTTTCTGTATGAAATTCATGATCGGTTTCCGCTGTGGTCCAAGTGAAACGACGATAGAAGTTTCTAGCCGGATTTTTAAAGAGAACTATTTGAGTTCCAAGAGGAGAATGCGTTTTCCTAAATGTAACGGTAGTTCTCTATGATTAATCTTAACAAGCTTGAACCGTTTATTTAAGTATTTTAGTTGCGAAAAAATCAACGATAATTGAACTAGGAACTTTGTTTTCGATAATATCGTTTCCTGAGGCTAAACAATCGTATGTATATGTACCTAATATATTTAGCATTCTATCGAATAATAGGATGGTAATGTCATTTCTGTTAACTTATTTAAAACATCTAATGGCGAATATTCCATAACCATGATGATTATCTGTGAAAGTGAAAACTTGGAGACGGTAATAACGTATGAAAAGTGGAAAATGGTTTTGTTGAAAGAACTTCAGAATATAAGTAAGCATACGAACGTTACACTTATTATCGACACATCATTAAATATATAGCAAAATAAATATCAAAAGTGAGGCTACAATAATAGAAAGTGTACGAACTGTATATGCGTTAAAAGTTTAAGCATTTATAGATTGATAGTTTTTTAACGGTGAACAGACAAGTCACAATGTTGAAAAAACATTAATTTGTATCATCTCATGGTCACAGTGACTTATGTTCATTTTATTTTGTCTGATATTTGTATTTAGCTTCACAGAGATATATAATCTGACTGGAATAATTGTGTTTAGCTTCACAGCGTATTAGTTATTCCCTGTATGGTTACTTTTTGAAATGATTGTTGATTAAAAATAATTTTAAAAGAGCTTTTCTTTTCATATTGCTGGAACTTCAGATCATTCACATCGAAACAAAAAACATGAAGACAAAAGGGAATATAATAATTATTAAAGAGTAATATTTCTAATTTCCATGCATCGACGTACAAATATGAGCTTAATATTTAACAGATCTTCAGAACTGCGGAATTTCAATTCGTTCAGTTATGTCACCATTAACGATTGATAGCTAACTTCTGCTTTATCGATTTCTTAATTTATGTTATTTTATAAACAGTTCAAATCATTCGTTGACAACGATAAAAATGCCACTATAAATAAATATAATAGTGGATATATGAAATTTTTAGCAGTAAACATCTTTATAGTAATTCTGGATTTAGTTGTGAATCTTTGATTATAAACCATAAAAATGTAAGAAATACCAGGATAATATTAAATACAAAAGAGAAAACAAGGATTCTTACTTCTTGTAACATTTGAATGGTACGTTCAGTATTTGTAATTTGTGTATTGATTAAAGAATCATAATCATTTGATTGAAGATACTAAAAATGAGAATTATTTGTATTATGTAAGTAAATCAATTTAACTTACTTTTCGTATTTCGCTGGTTATTTTAAATCTTCGTATATCGCCTAACTTGGTTTGTAAATCTTCATAATGCATTAACATTTCACTTAGCTCCCTTTACGTATACACATATTATGTATGAGATTGAAGTGATATGAAAGTGAATAAAAACTCAGTAAGAATGATAATTACATGTTGTATATCAAATGTTTAATTTAAAGGAAATAACATACAAAATAAATAAATTGAATGGTTCAATATTGTCAGAAAGTTCAGATAAACTCTATCCTTCCATTTCATCAAAGACAATATATACGTATTTTCATCAATCTTACAAAAAAACATATTGTAAAGCAGTTTGAAATAATAAAAAGATAATGGCTACTTCGAATTACAACTTATTTTCAGTCAAATCCATTGAATCAGCATTAACACTTTGCTATAAGTTTCATGGTATGCATTAAAACGTTAAATCAAACGCTTGTGTAGAACTTAGAATTACTAAATAACAATTTTCAAAGAATTTTACATTTGAAAAGGGTTTTGTGAAGATTGTAGTAATTTAATAGTTGAATTTATGAATCAATTAAAGCGAGACCACCTTGGGAAACCTTGAAGCACTGAACGGTCGTTTGGTCTTAGTATGGAACTGCTCAACAGTGCGCATCCATGATCCCGCCAGCGGGATTCTAACCCAGGACCTCCGGTCTCGCGCGCGAACGCTTAAACTTTAGACCACTGAGCCGGAATCCAACGGTGTTAATGTCTAACTTCAATCCACGGAATTGCGCCACTGTCTACCATTGTTTTCAGTAAGTTACTGCGTCACAACGGACACGGTTGAATTCCACCAGTGCCTCTAGGTTTCATAAGGTGGTTTAGCTTCAATCGATTCATGAATTCAACTATTAAATTTTAAATCTCTAAAGTGTAAAAATGTATTCCATAATAACTTTATATGATGAGAATATTCGATACAACATTTTTTATAGAATCATTCAACTGTGTACTGTTCAAGGAAAATTGTCGGCGAGACTATAGTTTATGGATGAACCAATCAGGTATAAGATAACAGGTCTCGGATTTAAGCACGAAATTCACCCATCCCATTGGCTAAATAGAGTTTTGGCATTATAGGTGATATCAGTTCGTGATGAAAACCCTAAATCGAATTCCTAACCTTAACCATCAACTGTAAATCATCATTCGAATTCCTCACACTAATTTGTAACCCTCATTTGGTCTTAGTTATTAGGTGGGCACTCTCAAGGTTACTTTAGCGTCGCTCAAAGGTCATCCATAAATTATAGTCTCACCAAATCTTCAGTTAATTATTAACAAAATATATGCTAGATGCGGAAAAAGTGAAAAGAAATATCTAATGAATGCAATTCTCGTGAGTATTCCATAATTATTTATAACAAAACTGCAACAAATATAATTCATCTGATAATTATTATATACATATAATTCTCTTTATTATCTTAAAGAGAGCAAGATTGAAGATTGGTGCAGAATAATATGAATTTCGTTAGGTTCTCATCAGCTGCTTACAACCTATGTTATTTAAAATCAACGTTATTACATATATTGACATACTTATACATACGAGGGCGATTAAAGATGAATATGTATACCATGATGTAGCGGAGATTTCAATAGAGTTAATAAGGTCACAAAAATTGTTTGTTTCAGATACATAAATAAAGTTTAGGAAGGAGAGTTCAAGACACTGAGTGATTAGAACTCATAGAGTTAACTGACTGATTTCAATTCATAACTTTATTAGCATTAATCTGTTTTCAGTTGCTTCGTTACACAATCATCTAATGTTTGTTAACCCCATGAGTTCTAATCACTAGTTCAATGTTCTGGAACTTTCCTTCCTAAGCTTTATTTATACGAAACAAAATTTTCTATGACCTTATTAACTTCATTAGAATCTTCGCTACATCATGGTATACATATTCATGTTTAATCGCCCTAGTATTTATATATATCAATATCTGTAATATATATAATCATTATCTTCAGTCACTTTTTAATTCCAATACGAAATAAACAGTTATAAGTTGAATTAGTATTAACGCTAAAACTTATCTATAACAGTAACCGTTTCAAATCAGATTCACAGTTCTATTTTCTACAACTTTAGCTCATAATATTTGTAAATAGATGAAAGATATATTTTATGGAATTCATTTAAGCAAAGAGAAAATCTATATAACCTTAGATGATATAGTTAGAAGACAAAAGTTGTTTGATCACTGAACATTTGCTATTTCTCTAACTAATAAGATCAAGTGATAAAAACTTATCTTCCTTCATGAAGGGCGGCCTGCTTGAGCATCTGGGCTACCTGTTCCTGCCATCTAGATATTTCATGAAGTTATCTATTTTTGTTTGTTTTAATATATCATTATGTTTATTAATCTCGTAACCTATTCTACTGCGTTTCTGAAAAGTGTACAGCCTTTCGTTGTCAAAGTTACAAAAAACTCAATAAGAGACTATGTGGTTGCTGGCAATATACAGCGAAAAGAATGCACATTATTCAGATGTTCATTTACTGAACTGATAACATCTAACTGGCGATCACTCAATATTTATCGCCAGGACCGACCAAGAAGAAAGAAACGGAAACTTGTTGAAATACTTTACGCTGAGAATTCTATATTGTATCAAAAATATAATATTGAATAAAGCTGATGATAATAATAATAATAATTGCCATAAACATAGTTGAAACTAATCATAGGAATGACCTCAACTATTATAGCTTGTATGAAAATGAATACTTTGGTTTGTTAAAGTCTTGTCATACAAAAACAGTAGTTGAAACAACAGCAGTTTACATTTATTATTCATCCTCACTAATTTTAATGAATAATTAATTAATTAAAGAAATAGCAATTTCTGCACTCCTCAAAACTGTCGCCCAATATGATTAACAATTTAAAAAAATGATATGGTTGCTTATTATGATCTGAAGAGGAAGAATGTAAAAGCCAATAATTCATGCAGTAATTACATTTTTAGTAACAATGAGCTCTAATCATCACGTTATCATTAGTTTAGATTCAAATGTGGTTACAGCCAGAGGCATTTGGTTTTTCAGGGTTGACATAAGAACGTTTGTAGTTTCTATCATCACTATTAACGTTAGATTTTGAGAAATGACCATAAGTATCAAACAATTAGTGATTGATTTAAGTGTTATAGAAATATATACTCACTATGCCTAGATGTGCACTTTTATTTCATCCAAATAATATAAAGATATAAAGTCATTTGAAACGAATTATTTCTGGCTAGAACCACGGTCGATCTTGAATCCAAACTCCGAATATTGGGATTGCTAAAGCTCATTGTTATTAAATTGGCAATCATTGAGTAAATTATTGGCTATAGTGTTCATCTTAAAACTTTAGTGGTCGAATGTATCATTTTTGGGGAACAGAAAGGGGAAAGGTGCAGAAAATTGTTCATTAATTGAGGGGTTGGGTGTACATTATAAATTTAAACTACTGTTGTTTAAATGTTTATCGTTTCCCTCAGGATGTTATGTCTTTATATATGTATGAAAGAAAAATATATGTGTATTTAGGTATATCGAGCGTATATTTCGATTACACTTCAACTAATAACTCCTTTTTCAATGTTCATGGTCATACCCTAAGAAGTAATTGTAAATGTCAAAGGAAGAAACCCACAAATTTTTTTAACTTAAACACATAAATACTCTGCTCTTTTCGTTCAAAAACATTTTGTACTACACAGAACCTACTCTAGAAATAATGATTTATTTCAATATTCAGATTAGTGTGATCCATATTGTTTTTCGCTATTATCTTTGTTTTCCTTATATTCTAATTTGTTCAGTTTGACCTCTGTTTCTTATATAAATATCTTAGTAAGTTGATAAGTAATTAAAATATTCCAAGTATACTTCTCTAATGAAGTTGTTTTGACAAACTTTGTCATTTAATTGAATTATTGAAAATTGACAGATCTGTACTTACCACTCAAGGTGATAAAATCTTTTTTTAAATTCTTTATTTCTTATCATATGGGATACTTTTGATTCGCCTAATACAATTATCTGTTTATTCAATTCTTCAACTTGCTCTCTTTGTATTAATAATGCATCATCATAATCATGAAGTAATGTGAATTGGTTAATATTAACTTCAACAAATCCTTGTTTTATTAACAATTGTAATTCTAAATTTGTCTGATTTCGATTATAATCTTTTATTAAACTATCTAATTGACATTTTCTTTCTTCTAACAATTTATGTAATGATTGTAAATCACGATCACGTTTCTAAAATATAAATCAAATACAGAAGATTAATACATATGAGATTGAAAGATAGGAAAGTATTAGTTTATTAAAATAAACTTTAACCTATGTGAAAGTTATTTATTGTGCAAAAAATGTATTTGTTAACCGCTAATTTGAATTTGTGATAAAAAAAAAGCTTACTGGTAATTACAGATGACAGATGATTGAATTAAGTTAATTATAATACTTTTGATGTATACAAAGATCAAGCTATTTAATTCGTTACAAAATTTAGCATACAATTAAATGACAGCCTTTAATGTTAAATGATTTGTACCTATATTACTATTAAGAAGGGTTTTAACAATCCCTTTGTTAAAATTCTTGACTGACTTTCAATTGATCTTTTTTGGTACCCGTGAGTTATATGAGGGTTGCTTCGATAAAATCATAATGTTACAAGACTTTAAGAATAGATGGATTGAGTCTACTGGTAATATATCGGTTGTGAATTTAATTCTATACATGAATCGTAAGCCGGATGTAATTGATCTTTACACTGGGAATTGAACTCAACGATTTTCTTTCAAACACCCTGATCTGTTGAATTTAGATAGTTACTGACTTGGTAAACGGGTATGAAATTTATATCATTATTAGGAAGGTTTGAACTATCTTGTTGTTGGTTGTATTGACCGAATCTTGATCAGTCTTTGTTGGTAGGAACATCCAAATGACAAATCCAAAAGTACAGTAACTTAAGTGAGTGAATGGAGAACAAACTATAAATTGATTCACACAATGCTAGAAGACTTTACAGTCGTTATAAGCAAGATTTTATTGAACCGAAAACTGTGAATGAACAACTAGTCAGTATCATATAGTTTTAATTAGTCGTTTGGCAGTTGTCAGTCTGCAACGAGAACAATTAGTTAATTATTCCCATTTTAAACCACGACTGGTGAATAGTTGACCTTAGCTAATCAAAATAGATTAATTATCATATGAGTATCATATAGTTTAAATAAATATAGTCATTAAAGAAAAATGAGAATCACAATGACAATTAATACTAAATACGTTTAGTAGCAGTCAAGTTCTACTTGAAACTTGTTGATTACTCAAAGTTATATTCTCTTAAATTAACTAACGTTCAAAATGACATTCATCATGAGCATAAAACTGATGAAAATGCGACTGAACAGCTTCCTGTATCAAATTTAAGTTCACTCAACATAACGCACAAGGAACCTTCTTATATAGTGCAGTGATTAAATCAAATCTTGCATTGAGGAAGTTTAATTACAGAATGTTATCAAAATGAGCCGAAAACACTTCAAAATTGCATGAAGATGATTGTTAGTATTATCAAAGAATATCAGTCGAATTCATTCCGAATTAATTACAATGTCATCATTAGGTCATTTGTTTACTTCAAATATGTGTTTACCTAGAGGAACAGTTTTATTTCAGCTATATTATTATTCTACGTGATCCTATTAACATGATATAATTGATCATCAAGTAGGAAATCTATGTTGAGGTTATTCTATGTTATATTTGCGAACTAGTGATCATCATATATACTAGCAAAAAAATTACAAACCTTGACAAAGTTGTATCACGCTTTAAAATGATACACTATACAATGAAAAAGAATTTCTGTAAAAATAAAACTGATTTTGGGTCTTATCATAGTTGTCAGGAAATCTTTGCAAAGATTACAAAAGATTACAAAAAGACGGAAAAGCTCAGTTGGATTTCCGTCTTATTGTTTCGTTCATGCAAATAACACAAAGAAACTCTAATCAATATCTTTGACTAAAAGAACCTGCGAAACTCGGTTTCTAGTTCAGTTGATTAATGATATTTTGTAGAACAGTTTTTACACATTTCGAAACATGCAAATACAGAATACATATACGTTGACCAAATTATAAAAGTATTTATATCTTTTGTGTCCTGAATAAAATTTTTAACAGAAGGACAAATTGAAAGTTAAGGAAGCTTGTTAAAATTAGCAAACAGAATTGACCAGCTAATTTACAAATGGATCATATGGAAGTGATATTCATATTCATTAGTACATAAAACACCATAGAGCACTGGATTACGCAGAAACTCAAGCTTACACGAATAAAATTTGTAATGTCATCTAGCTTCTGAGTGGCAAATTTAATTTCCAACTCTTTATTAATCTTCCGGCGTCTTGCTGCACACAACCTACTCCATAAAGCGTTATCACACCCAGGCTGCTGTTCACGTGAAGGGTCATTATCTAGTTCTACCAGACTTTCTTCTAGTAAGCTAGTTTGTTTGGTTGACTGAGATGATTGCCATATTTTTTCGATATATGGATTTAGTTGTTTAGAAAATTGTGCATCCTTTCCAGTCTGATCAATCTTTTTCTCCAAAGGAGCTAAAAGGAAGTACCTTTAAAAAAGATAGGCAAAATATTACGAAACAGTGGATCTGATTTATTGTAGGTATCAAGTAAAAATAAAATATTCCTTTGGCGGTTAAAAGGTAAATATTTCCCAAGTTAACTTCTACAAGATAATCAAAGTCTGTACTCGTCTGTGAGACTGATTGATACTTATCACCAAAAAACGCATTGACTGAAGTTGTAATGAAATTCCTTTTATTTGAAATCATCTATCTAGAGGTTGGCATTCTAGTGGAACTCCATCAAAGTACTGATGTGGTGTATGCTACTCATGGGTACAGGCATAAGTAGTATGTGGCAGGAATCGGAGGTGGAATGCTAACCAAACAAAAGATAGAAATAAATAAAAGAGGAAGGAAAACAGAAAGCAACCAGAATAACGACAAGATTTAACGGATGATGGAGTAGTTAAAGAACAAATCAGGAAAGATATGCAAATGATGTACTAATTGTATGATTTTCATATTCTGCATAGTCACTGTGTAATTTCGTCTAAATAATAAACTGGTTTTCGCCTTCATGCCTTCGTCCAATACTTTGATATATTGAACCAGTCTAAATTTTCAATGTCAGAAATCAAACACTGTGTCAAGGGGGTTACTTAACATGGAATGAAATTATAGTCTGCTTATTGGAGAATTTTGGAAGCGTTAGCATAATACAGTAACTGTAAATTTATTTCAAATCAAATTTGTTAACCTACATTACATTTCAAAAAGAAGGGTTCATTGTGTATAAATTAAACGATATCAGTCAGTAAATTACATTAATAAAACATAAAGACCAATCATCTGGTACGTCTAAATAATCCATTTAGTGGCCAGAAAGTTTCCTTTGTTAATTCATAAAGAGCTCCTTTAAAATTAATTACAGTGAAATTTCCTTTTATAAAATTTCCTATATTTATAATCTCAAAGTTGTTTGACATCAGATCGAAAATGTAACCTTACTGAGTGTATTGATAATTATTTATATGAGAATATTGAAGAAGAAACTTGTACTTACTTGGTTTTCCTAGCTAGTACACAATATTCTTTAAGCATTTATCGAGTTGCAAAATTTTCAAGCTATTATAGAATTAATAACCTTAAATTACGGTTAGATATCAACTCACTGAAAATGCAGTTTAAACTTGATGAATGTCACCGGTTATACGATATATTAATTAGATTTTTATTATCCAATATACTACTCATAAAAAAGTAATTTATACTAAAGTTTATGACTTGATCAAACTCGATATAGTTGAATAGATTTATGTTACAATACTTAAAAGAGTAAAAAAATGCATATGTCTGAATATGAAAATCATTAAGTTGGGTAACATTTCAGGCTAAAATATATCAAAATATAACTTAGGTAAAATGAGTTGATCATCTGACCATTACTTAACCAACTTTAAAGCTTGATAGTAAAGATTAATAATCCATACACTGCTGGACAGGTAAGAGATGTATTAGTAGGTAGTTAGCTATAAATTAATGGTACTGTTCAAAATTATGTCAGTCACCTGATTTTGTCAATAACTTAGTTTTACACTTGTTTTAGATGCAAATAATCCTACAGAATATATATGCATTCTATACTCTCACTTTTGAAGATAAACGTCATCCTTCTGTAGTCCGCTTTAGATCTTAATTATTTTAAGCACAATAAATTTCAACAAGCTTTATTTGAAAAAAGTCATTTGATTATTGTTACGTCTTTGGACTGTCTACCCACTTTTGGTGCTTGGCTACTTATTTAATCCAGATTAAGACCTTAGCGCGATAGGCTGACCGACCTAACCTTGAAGTTCAAAATGGGGTAGAGAGAAGAAAAAATTCTATCACCTGATTGGCTGACAAGCACGCAAATGAGAGAAGACAAGACAACTGGAACACTACTCGATCTATTCTTGATGCCCTGATATACTGATTTCTTCTGATTTCAGATTCGTGTAAAAAGGCACATGAATAAATAGGTGACTAACCCGACCCCAACGTACAATAATTAGGAAAAATACAATTATGTCCAAAGCTGGGAATTAGAGTAAAAAATAGGGTACAAAATATTGTTTAAATTACAATAGCTTCGGAATAGAAAAGGGTATGGCAATGAATCATACATCGAACGAAAGCTTATGTTTTGTAGAATAGATTAGGGACAAAAATAAATGTTAGTGTTTTACAAGCTTTGCATAACATGAAATAACGTCCCGAAAAATAGCTTTCATAGTTTGTCAGAGCTTCCTGTTTCCCTGTTCACAACAATTATAGATTTATAATAAAACATATCAGAATTCGAGGGAGAATGCATTTGTAAAATCTCAGCGAAAGAATGTGAAGTAAACCTAACGTTTTGTCTGGCAATCTGGTCCAAGCTTTTTCAAGGAATTCGGTTTCAAAGAAATTTCATAACTAATCTAATAACTCACAGTAAACGGATACCTTCGAAATCTTGTTCAGATAAAAATGTAGATCGGATATATCTTTCATTATCAAACTAACCCGACCGAAGCTACTACCTTGACGCGGTGGTCGGGCTTGCCTATCGTGATGACCCAGCCGAGCTATATTGGCTGGAACATATGTTCCTGTAGGTTATACCATGCCAGGCAGGTCGATTGGAGAACGGTAAGACTAAAAGCAGCAACTCAAGTTCTGAGGGCGAAGTCGTACTGCTGAATGTAGAGGGGTGTGACAGCAGTAAGGTGTTTCCCTCAGACAACCAGCATCTGCAGCGATGCTGCCTTCCCACAATGAGGGGTGGGGTTAGAAATGGTCGACCCTAAAAATGTCACACCTCACCTCACCTCACGGATTTCTGTCTCCGGCGGTAAGACCCTTTGAAGAACGGAGCTAACACATTAAAAACCTTCCACAAAAAGGCCGTGCGCGACCGGCCTCAAGCAGTTGTCCGCTGGGCTCTGCGGTCACGCTCCCAGGTCGTTAAGACCAACACTAATCCAATTTCATGCAATTGGTTCCCTTTATGAATTTAAATAGAGCAAGAACAAACATTGATGCAGAATAGTATGAATTGATATTATTTCGAGGTTTCTCATCAGCTGCTTACAAACCAAAATTGTGATAGAATTTTTTACATGGAGATAGTGTGAAACAGCTGACATAAATGAGTGTAAATAACTGGATTACAAAAATAACTATATATATATATATATATATATATATATATATATATATATATATATGCATGCTAGAAACAGGTTAATTCAGATTGGGTGGTGTAATAGTTTAGTGAAGTTCATAAATTGTGTGACAATTAGAGATTAATGGAATTGAATAATGATAAGGTAGATTACGTAATAATAATTAAATAGAATTTGAAAAGTTAAGATAATTTAAGAGGATCAGGTGGTGGAAATGTGTGAATAAAATTTTAGTTTAAGAATTAGGTAATAGGGGGGGGAGTATAAAATATCTTAAAATAAGTAAATGAATAAAATAACCAAATAACCAAAACACAAAAAACAAACGGAAACAAAAGAGATTACCAGGGTAGTGATAAGTTTATTAAAGTCTCTTTTTGAATGCATAAATCCGGTTTCAGTTTCTTAATTGCAATGGCTTCAGCAAAACGGAGAGTGGTAGTACTTCTTTGTCTATTGATAATTTTAAACGCGTGCAGAATATCGACGGTATGCCCGGTGTCAAATAGATGCCGAGCTATTGCACTGCTGAAAGCTCTAGTCCCTCGCAGCGTCAAGTTCTTCGGAATATGCTCAGAAATACGAACCTGTACTCTTCTCTCAGTTCTTCCAATGTATGTGCTACGGCACGTACATGTAAATTGGTAAATGCAGTTGGAGCAACTGAGGGTAGAGGATTTGTCGATCATCGTTTGTTTCAGTGAGCAGTATGTTTTCTATAACGTAGTCAGTTTGGCTGCCGGGTAGGCCACTTTTAAAGTGGAATTAATTCTGTGATTGATAATTCCGGCGACTTAATCTCCTTTGAAGCGCAAGGATAGGAAGCAGGTTTTCTTTTCAACTGTATCATACTTAATTGGAGGGTTGGTATTAGCATATTTGTGGATGAATTTCTCCGGATATGCATTTTCACGTAGGCATTTGGTGATTGTGGCAATTTCTTCTTTGAGGCATTCTTTTGAGCAGATTTTACGTGCGCGGTCAAAAAGGTTTCGCACAATACCCTTTTTATAACTCGTTGAACAGAAGCTGTTAAAATTGAGATAAACTCAGCTCCAAGTATTTTTGCGGTGAATGTGTCTTTGTAGTGTGCCATCTGATGTTCGCCTAATTCCAATATCTAGGAAATGGAATTTATCGTCAACTTCATGTTCCATGGTAAATTCTATATCTTTGTGTACTTTACTGAACAGACTGAGTAGGTACATGGAGTGTTGGTGATTTTTGCAGACAAGGGACGTGTCATCCATATATCTGCAGTAGAATGTGGTAATCCAATTACCTTTTCAGGTTCCTCAAGAAGTACCCTTCCACGGTGTGGACAGCCGGGAAATGATATCAGCCCTCATACCCGTAACAGCACACGAGACCAAGTTGGTCACATTCAAATCCTTCCTACAACTCCTAATACCTCTCTTATCTCCATGACTAACCCTTCTCACGTCTCTTTATCACCTCGCACCGCCAGGGCAAACGATTCGAGTACACGGAACGCTATTCCTGGTCTCCTGAAACCACGCTCTAAACTACACGTAGGAGCTTTTAACGTCCGAACACTGTGCCAAATAGGACAGCAGGCTTCCTTAGCTGGGACTTTAGAATCTTGCGCCATCCATGTGTGCTGCGTCTCCGAAACGCGCACACAGGATCCGAGTAGCGTGATTCATTTGACATCACTATGCCAAAATAAAGAACCAACTCGATTCACACTTCATGTATCTGGAAGCCCTGATTCTGCTTCCCGTGACCTCGCCGGCGTAGGTATAGCATTGAGTCCTAGGGCAGTTCTAGCTCTTTTAGAGTGGATCCCAGTAGACAGTCGTTTGTGCGCTGTCCGACTAAGCGGAACAATAAGGATCCGAAAAGATAGGGCCACTAGTCGTTGCCTCTTCGTCGTCTCTTCCTATTCTCCCACTGACTGCAGCGCAGATGATGCAAAAATGAGTTTTACAGAAAGCTCTCCGACCTTCTCTGAAAAGCTAGGCGCTCGGATGTAGTAGTAGTGGCTGGTGACTTTAATGCTCAAGTAGGCAAACTAAGCGATAGGGAAAGACACCTGGGTGGATCTTATAGCATCGTGGCTCAAAGAACAGATAATGGCGACCTTCTGTTACAGCTATGCTCAGATAACCACCTGTTCCTTGCAAATACTAACTTTAAGCATAAGGAAAAACATCTTTTAACATGGAGACCTAATTCAGATCATGCTCTAGTGCGAGCGCGTATTTGCTTGTGTCTTACTGAACGTAGGAAAGACACTGCAAGGAAAACTCTTAGGGGCCTACTTAATGATAGTCAAGCTAAGAGTATATTTCAGGAACAACTAGGAAAACAGTTAGGCAGCCATGTATGTAATGCCCATGGAATGATATCCGAAAAGCTGTGGAAACAGTAGTGATATCTGTTAGTACAGTAAACCACAAGGTTAGGGAGCAACACTGGATCTCAGCAGCATCTATCGCACCGATAGATGCTCGGAAACTCATTCCACCTGGCTCTGAACATAATGAAGAGTGGAGTCAGCTTAAGCACAAGCTGAAAAGAAGCCTACGCAATGATCGCGAACAGTGGTGGGTAGCGAAAGCAAGAGAGATGGAAAAGGCAGCGGCAATAGGTAATAGCAGACAATTTTTCAGGCGTCATTCGACTCTGTTGATCGTGAGGTTCTATGGCAGTGTTTGTCATTAAAAGGAGAACCAAAGAAGTACATTAACTTTATAAAGGCTCTCTACTCGAACACAACTGGTAGATTGAGAGCTGATGGCGAACTGTCATCAAAATTGATTACCTCAAGTGGTGTTCGTCAGGGCTGTCCACTCTCCCAATTCTTGTTCAATTTTGTCGTCGACGTACTTTTAGAGATAACACTCTCCTCGTCTAGATTTTCAGGGGTTGAACTTCTACAGGGAGGTTCACTTGTTGACTTAGAATATGCTGATGACATAGTTTTATTTGGTGAAGACGCTGACAAAATGCATTCTGACCACTATAAGCAACAATGCAAGCATGTTCGGCATGCGATTCTCCCTCTCGAAATGCAAAATGTTACTTCAGGATTGGGTTACATCGACACCCGAATTAATGATAGGGAGCCAAGTAGTTGAGCGTGTCGACCGCTTCACTTATCTGAGAAGTCTCATCAGCCCTTGTGGTCTGGTGTGTGACGAAATCTCAGTATGGATACAGAAGGCTCGACTAGCTTTTGCCAACCTGCGTCGTTTATGGCGTAGGCCAGATATCCGTCTATCAACCAAAGGACGGGTTTACTGCGCAGCAGTTCGTTTCGTCCGGTAAGAATAGAGGATATCCGTAGGTTACTAGTATTCTATCATAGGTGTCTTCGAAACATTGCTCGTATATTATGGGACCATCGAGTAAGTAAGACAGTTGTTAGGAAACGGGTACTAGGTAAGGATGGCAAATCAATTGATGACGTAGTGAAACTTCATCAGTTGAGATGGCTGGGACATGTGTTACGTATGCCCAACTACCGACTGCCTCGACGTGCGATGTTCAATGGCATAGGAGTAGGTTGGAAGAAAGCTAGAGGTGGCCAGATCAAAACATGGCACAAGTCCTTGAAGTCACTGACAAGTGAACTGAGTCATGTTGGTAGGTGTAGACTACTTGGTTGGGGACCACGAGATGATAGCAACCGATGGTTAGAGACCTTGAATGACATGGCTCAAAATCGTTTGCAATGGCGCAGGTGCATCCACTTTTTGTGTTCTCCCAAATTCTAATCTTCTGAATTCTTCATGTCCCATTCTTTTTTCTCTTTCCAAATTTATTTCACTGGATTATACTCCTTGAATAACATCTTCAAACTCTAATTTTTCTGATTACAGCTTGTAATTTTACTACATCTAGCACTACGGGATTTGATTCGACCACTGCATCTCTGTGCTAATGTGGTGTGGCAACTCGAACTGATGTACGTACTTACGAAGTTTTACGTTGTTACTGACTGACTGACTACTAACATTCAGGGGATATTTTGTAGCCATTTAGTTTTACTTTTTCGTATCCAAACTTAATGTTAGTGCTCAAAGTTTCATGTTGCAGTAAATATTTTTCCGCTCAAAGGTCGTCTGTCCATCATGATATATAGTTTAATCGGGTTTATTCTAATTATAATATGCTTTCAGTTCAGTATAAAGGTGATGCATACACTACCAAATGATCAATAGTTAATAAAAAGAAAATTTATGACCAACTAAAAATTAGTCTTTACAGTTGGTAATACTGACCATACCATCCATCAATTCTCTGCAGGCTGTTATGCAAAAATTATCATTTTGTGTTTAATCTGAGATGAATTTCTATCTTATCACTGTCTTAGCGCGTTAGGATTAAATTCGTTAGTCTTATACAAATACAAATAAGCTCAGTAAAAATACTTCACATTTCAATATTTCTGTAGAAACTTCTGGAGATTACTGAATCCTCATAATTTACATTACATAGTGATCTTAGTTAAAAAGATATTGGAAACTGGGAAACATTAGACAGTTGTTTCATCCTAGTGTAAGATTCACGGGTCTGCATCCCCATCCCCATCGGGGTTGAGCTCTTGATTTGTAAGTCTTGTTTTGAGCGGTTAACTTCTAGACTAATGACCTGAAGCTCTGCATTAGACCTCTAACCGTGATGTGGATACATACTCCTGAGTCTCTTATTAGGATGAAACAGCTGTTCAGAGCTTCCTGATTTTCAGTGGCTGTCTAACTAAGGTCAATACGTCTTGTAAATAAGTGCAATTTTAATATTTGTGTTATAAATAGTTTCTAATGTAGCTTTTTTTGTTGCTTACTTTGGACGTTTCTTATAAGCTTTGACAATAAAATCATATAACGGTCCATGTATATCACTGAATTCCTTTCGAAGATTTTTTTCCATTAATTTATCATCAGCAGACAATAGTTCAGTTTCTTCTTGAACTTGGTTTAATATTGATTTGGCTGTTTCTAAATTTTTGGTAATCTAACAATGAACAAATAAACAAAAAGAAACTTTTTAGAAATTTTAAGATTTATTGTTAATAAACAAATGTATAAATAAAGAGGAAAATACTTATAAAAGGAACTTCTTGAAATTCTCATACATTTCAATCACAGCAAGCATTTCAGTTTCAGACTGGGAAAGATGGGAGGCTGGATAATTTGTGTAATTCTTGGTGATTAGAGTCTTTCATTTAGTTTAATCTCCTTCTGCATTAATCACCAGACGAAGCTTCAAATTCAGTAGTAATATGGATCATGTAAGTAAAATTTTCGACGTCTGAATTAAAAATCACATCATTTAGGACTACTAAATGATGGTTATTGAAGCCAATATTATGTGCAGCTGTATTTCAAAAGTTGGTTAAAGCAAATAGATATGCTTTGCAGAAGTCTTGAAGGTCTCGTGCTCGATATTAAATGAACTTACAGGTATTTTATTCAGAAATATATTGCAATTTATTACCTATTACAATTCGTTGTTCAACCGATGCAAACTGATTAAAAGATTATCGTAACAAACTTTAAAATGAAGTAGTTAGCGCATGATTACTTCGCAAACTCGTTTCGATTCTAGTTACCAGTTGTTTATCAGTCATAAATTTTAAAAAAAGTTTGAGGTTTAGTCAGAATTAAGTTGCTAATTGATAAAATAAAGAAAACTGTCATTTTTGAGACTAACTGCTTGATATAGGAAGCCATTTCTATTATCAAAATCAATTTTTCGAATGTTCAGTAAAACTAATAATTTGAACTAACAAAATGGTAATAATCGTTTTATCCGATACAATATAATTGATTACAACATAATTTCTCAGAAGTAAATGTGTAATTTTGGCAGAAATTTTCTTACATTGATTTGATTGCTGAACATAATATATATGCATAGTATAACTAACTTTTTAAAAGCGACTATTTGTCATTCTTAGTCATCCCAAAATATCTACGATCAGCCTTCCTCTTATGACATAATACATTCGGTGAATGAATTTTACTCAAATCTTCTATGAAACGAAAGAAAATGGTTCCGCTTAAATTTTGCCTTGATTAATCGTGTGGAAGGTTTAAAATTTTTGAAAAAAACGGATGAATACAACACGAAGTCAATGTACATAATTCCTCAATTAAAACAGACAAAAAAAAAAGAAAAATCCTTTGTAATATATATGCAACTAGGAGATAAGTAGTCTATAAATTTAAGCAAACCACCAAAAATAGTACCATAATGTGTTTTCGATGGAATAAAATGAGATGGACCAATTATTACAAACAAATGATCTTCAGCTTTTTAAGAAAACAATTATTCATATTTATTTGAGAGTTCATTTTATTTTATATCACTTAAAGAAATTAATACTGAAAAGCTTACTTGTACTTCCTTCTTATATAATTCATTAATTGATTGTTTTAATTCATATTCTCTATTAATAAATTCCTCTTCAGTAAGTAACATCCATTTAAGCCTCCATATTTTTAATTCTTCTTGTAATATAGCCACTTGAACATGTAGCCATTTATTAAATAGAGAAGTTAGCTCCTCATCAAATTTTTCTTTAATTTCATCTATTTCATTGTTAATCTTTTTTAAATCACCTTCTAAAAACTGCATTAAAAAAAGTATTAAATTACTTTATGAATAAAATATTTTAAATTATGTTTCGAAAAAAAGCGATCATTTAGTATTGTAAGATGATATTATGCTCATGACAGATAGTAGGTCAAACAGTTATTATAATAGTCTCGTTTGTATTGAATGATGTTAGTAGAATATCAGGAAGTTTATTCAACAACTGTCTCTATTACATATGATCTAGTTAGTATGATTGCTATAAATTTTCTAGAAGAATATGCTAATCATGTTCCATTGTGGGTGACATTGAGCATATGTTATAGCAACACACCTACGATTTATTTCGATCACGGTTAATTTTGTCGAGCCCTTTTATTAACTTATTTGACGGACAGTGTTATTCGAACAGTAACAATTCGTCTATTTCTTTGTATTATTATGATCGCTATCATGTCTGCTTTGCCTTGATTTCATTTGACTGTAAATGCACCTGTGTATTCTCTTGTTCGTACACACTTGCCTCTGTGCTCCAGTTTCCTCGATTTGCTTGTAACTTGGTTATCTGTGTTGTCCAAGAATAGATTGTAATCGCCGCTCTTTATTGCCTTCTGAATTCAAACACCGTTGGGATTTATGTAATAACAGTTATCAAGGTGATTAATAAACGAAGCCTAACGAATTATCTCGAAGCTAAACCACTACAATGTCCATTTTGCGTTTCTAGAAGAAAAGTCGATAATATCTATTGAAACTAATTATATAGATGACAGCAATCTTTCGAGAAATTTCATATTGTTAATAAAAGACAGTATTGTTTGATAGATATTTATAGCCAAACACTTGTGGACAGTATCCGATTTTTGTGTAAAAATTCAATAGATAATTATTAGGAATACTTAGAAAGAGAAAAAAACAATTAGATATGCACATGTACAAATTGTAAAACGAAATATTGAATAAATGAATTTATAATCATTATGAATAATTGATACTGATTTGTCTGTATGACAATAATGTGATTTATAATTGCCGTACTATAGTTAATTATTTTATTCATCATGAAGATAAAATAAATTCTACTCTTTGTTCAATCACATTATTTTGTGTATGCCGAGGGATTCGGTAAACTTAGCAAAGAAATAGTAACATATTATTTTTAGAGAGGGGGTTTGTGGAGATTGTAGTACCTTAATAATTGAATACATGAATCTATTGAAGCTAGAACACCATGGAAAACCTGGAAGCACTGGACGGCCGTTTCATCTTAGTATGGGACTCCTCTGCAGTGCGCATCCACGATCCCGCAGCCCGCGACACTCGAACCCAGGATCTGTCAGTCTCGCGCGAGAGCGCTTAACCATCAGACCACAGAGCAGGCATCCAACGGTGTTAATGTCTAACTTCAACCGATCCACGAAACTGTGTCACCATCCACCACTGTTTTCCAGGTTTTCCGTGGCAGTCTAGCTTCAATTGACTCATGAATTCAATTATTATGTTATTTTATCTTACTCTTTTTTCACATACAAGAAACCAAGTCATAAAACATTAGATACTAAACATTTTGGTAAAGGTAAGTGGAATTAATAATGAAATCATAGTATTAGCCTGAGGTGAACAAGAACACGAGTGGGACAATTGAATGTACCCGACACGACATTACAGAGCATCTCACTAAAATCTGAGAACCATATAGTAAATAGTTAATCTGTAAAATATCAATCCACGTCTCAAACTTGACTGCTTCTTTTGCAAATATCAGTCCATTGTCTCAGATTTCAGTGTTCATGCATTTTCATACCAATTGCTTTTCGTTCCCCTTTTTTCCTTCGATCTTCTACTGAAATACTTTCTATACCTGACCATCGTTATATACTAATTATGTGGATATAAGGAGCTCACATCACAACCCTATTGGTAATTAATGTCATCATTTTGAAAAGTTTATAGAAAGATGAATAATTATCTAAGCATATTTAATTAAAAAAGTTTGTTACTAGTATACACAATGACAGTGATTGACAAGAGAATTATTGATGCAAGTTTTATTCATTTCGGCTAAATAGAGCACAAAAGCACTATGACTTGTTATCCCTGTAATTAAAGCTTTAACATGGAGGAAGGAAGAAAGGAGAATAAATAACACGAACTCTGGGATAACAAGATTGTGACAGCGACTATAAATTTTGACTAATCCGCAACCACATAGGAGCGAAAATCACAATTGTCTAGTTCTCTGTCAATCCCGTAACAATGTGGCCAACTACCATCGGAACATAGTACACAAGATGTAAGTTATATGAGCTAATGACCACATTGCAACTTGATCGACAGAAGCCAAATAGCACTTAAAAAATTAGAGATACATGGAACTAGTCGCTATTCAGCTATCAGTGAACTGCAAATACTGCAGTCCTAAAGAGAATCAGTCATTGCTCGAATAGCTCAGCGGTAGCGTCCCAAACTATGAAGCTACGTAACTGGTTAGAATCCTCCGGCAATCATAGGTATGTATTACTGACTAATGTCAAATAGCATGAAATATAGGTACGGAGTATCCCACCGACTATTTCCAACCATCTATCATCTATAAATTTTGATTGCATGAAACTGATATATTATAGTTTTATTGAATTGCGTTTCATTTTGCACATTAATGTAAAAGACAATCCAACCTTTTTATATTTTTCTCTTTCTTCATTTAATTCTTTTACTTTCCGTTCATACTCTGCATACATTTGTTTATCATCTTCCGTCCAATGAACTGATGGTTTACCAGTTAATAAAAAAGCTGGTTTTGGGATATCTTTTTTCAATTCATCTTCTTTTGTAATCTCTAACACACCACCCATCATTTCCTCCAAACCTTTTTCACGCCAATTATCCAACTTTTCCTTACGTCGTCTTTCTTCGTCAGCTAATCGTTTCAATTGAATTTCAGCTAACTGCTCAGGTGAAAAATACTTTTCCACTGTTATCTCATCATCTGTAACAATAAATAGCTGTTCTGGCTCTTCGTCGGGATCAAATTTCGGACTAGTGAGATGTTTTATTAAATGTGGTTGTTGAAGATCCGTATGAATTTTACGTATTCTCGATAATTTAGTTTGAATGTTAGAAAGGTGACTTGCCTTCTTTTCATAGAATTCATCGAACTGTTTGTTGAAAGATTCTTTCATACGATAAATTGCATCCTAAAAGTTTGTCGTTAATTTTAAATGTTTATAATTAAAAAGATTCATGTAGTTAGATAAATTATTTTCACAAATCAGAAATCAATCAGATGTAATTATTAAAAACACAAGTGCCTATCTACCGTTTGAATGTCAATTTAGATATGTATGAGTGATACAAATCATTATTTAAATGAATTTGGTTGTTCAGTCAACCAGTTATTTAAATATTTAGGTTGTTGAAGAAAATCCTAGATTATCCTTCATTAGATTTTTATATTCATTTTGAAACAATACTTGAGAAAATTTCAAACTTTGTCTTAACACTATGTAAGTCATAGTACATAGGATTTTGATGATCATCTCAAAGTGAATCCATTACACCGTAATTACTTTCGGAACCTTAAAGCGTATGTTGTCGATCGACTTATTCTGATGATCTAATATTGGTATAAAGCTAGTCTAATTTCTAGATATATGGATACCAAGTGCTATTTTACAGAATAACTGAGGAGCTCGAAGGATAACACGATATATTTTATTAGATAGATGGACAATAAAATCGGCCGAAATATTAGAAGTTTATCCATATTTGATAGTTTGCAATGACTCCTTATTTTAATTGTATTCTGTAGTCACATGTTAAGCCCATAATGCAACTGAAAATTTAATATTTATTACAAAAAAAGTTATGATAAATATTTTACAAAAGGAATCGTTAAATTTTTAATCCAAACATTTTTTAAACTGGAAAATAAGTTCACTGAAAACATGCACATGTCTTTAACTTCATGCATACTTTTTGACAGAATGACTACCGAATTTCTATAATCTATCTGGATGATTCAAAACAAGAGAGTCAGTACAAGAACTGGCTCGCATAAAGTACACCTTAAACTATGAAAAATGACTTTTGGGTTAAGATATCAAAAGTTGCTTGGATTATATACCGTCCTATAATTCCCATAAATAGAACTGACCACTTTCAACTTGTACAAACAATGAAATACAAATAAAAAATTATTTATTTACAGAATTAATAAAGTTTCAAGTTTATTTTTGATATTTAGATGAAACTAAATATCTCTAGACGTGAATTTAGGTAATTCATTGGTTGAGATCATAAGTCAATTGAAGTTAGACCACCATGGAAAACCTGGAAGCACTGGACGGCCGTTCCACCCTATTGTGGGACTCCGTAGCAGTGCGCAATCCCTTCTGATACTAGTTCATTGGTGTTTATACTTACTTTTATCAAAACAATTTGATAAATCTTTTGCGTTCGTGTATAAAGTTCCATTTGACCATAACCATGATCAATCGATCCACCTTGTTCTCTGGCTAAAATACAAACAATGATAATCAAATTAAAAATAAAATCCGGTTTGCAAATAATACTACCATGCCAGTCAATAATATTAATTATTTTCAAATGTTTCGCTAGGAGTAAAAGTGAGAATCATTCTAAGGGAAACATATCCAGATCTCTGTTATTATTCAAGGTAGTTATGTGTTATCTTAAAAGCATAAATTTTCTAACCTTATTAATAATTAATACTATATTTGCTATCAGGAGTGATCTATACTACTCAAGGATTTAGAAATAAGCAACTATATTGTTTATTGATCAGTCGGACAGATTAAATACACTAGATTCGGCATCGATACGTTTTTTAAATTAGGGTTAAATGAGTAAAACAAGATAGTCAAATAACTAGAAAAACGGACTAAAATTTGCGTTCATTTTTCCTAAGTAATAAGAGGTGTAAAATGTTAATTATTGAAATAAATTATATTTAAAACACAATTGTATGAACGAAGAATATTCTTTTCAATAATTTCTCATCAGGTTCTACAACTATAAATTCAAATTAATAATACATAAAATTGTCTAGATTTAAGGCAGAGTACATCGTTTAAAATTGTAACATGTAAATACAGAATTGTTGTTTGTCATATAAATTCAAATCAAATCAGAAGGGGTTTTTTGGAGATTTTAGAAATTTCACTGGTTGAAATCATGAGTCAATTGAAGCTAGAACATCATGGAAGACCTGAAAGCATTGGACGGGCGTTTCATCCTAGTATGAGACTCCTCTACAGTACGCATTCACGATCCCGCCACCCGTGAGATTCGAACCCAGGATCCATCAGTCTCGCGCGCGAACGCTTAACCATCAGATCACAGAGCCGGCATATTTAGGTACATAGAATGCTCGTACAATGTGAGAGACCGGGAGAGTCTTCCGAATTGCTGCAGAAATGAGGAGATACAACCTGGAGGTGCTCAGAATCAGTGAAACACATTGGACGTAAGTCATACGACAACGACTAGCTTCAGGGGAGCTTCTGTTATACTCCGGCCATGAAGAAGAAAATGCTTCACATACACAAGGAGTTGCATTGATGCTGTCCAAACAAGCATAAAATGCACTTATGCTATTAAAAGGAGGAGGCGTTGAGGATGTTAGATCCCCAGAACTCACTTGGTAAATGCCTTAATTTTATAATTTTATTTTGTAAATTTAAATTTCCTTGTTTTCGCGCCAGAGGCGCACTTTTCACCTTCGTGTCGTATTTCCCACTTGAGAGAATCTTTAACGCTATTGTTCCGTTGTGTATTTTTAGTATGCTATTTTCGCTACACTTCCCAAGGACAGTTTTATGCTGTATATATACGTTTGTTTGTGTCTGCTATTATTCACTAGTGCTTCTGGCTTACGGAATATACCTTCCCGTTCCAAGCTTGGACTTATTCGTCTAGTTAGCGGGGCGGGATGCATCAAATAGCTAGATTATTGGTCTATGGTCACAAGCTAATCCATTTGGGTTTCTCCGCGTGAGTTCGAATCCCGTCCCCGTCGCCAAATTTACTAGGTTTGAAGCTATTATGAGTTCACTTTGTATGCGAACAGAACAAAGACTTGTGACCGTAGACCAATACTCTGGCAAAAATATAAGACTATGGATATTTGTTACTTCAAATCCTAGTTAATTTTATAATTGCTGATGAAATTTGTCTTTATATATAAACAGCATTAGGCTTTTTCTGTATATTGTAAACATTTCAATTTTCCGCAAATAGTATCTTAAATGATGTAAGTTTAAAAAAAAGGTGAGATAATGAAACACATATGAACACGTTCATTTAAACAATAGTTCTTGTTTCATGAATAAAATATAAGTGAACTATTCAACTAAATTTCAAACATAATCACCAATTTCTAACATTAATGTAAGGTGATTTAGATTTTCATGTTGTTTGATTTTTTAACACATTAAACGAGTAAATATTAGCATTGAAAATTTTTTTTTAAAACTATAAACCCAGAATGTAGATAGTTATCTCGGTAGAAACCTATCTACTTAGAATTCACACGTACCAGTACTTCCAAGAAGAATCCGATTTATTGATTGCTCTGTTTCCTCTTCCTCATCTACTTCTTCCTTTTGTTCTTGACTGGGCTTCATTTAATGTAGGTAAAGAAATAAAATCAATAAATTTATTTTTTGATAGCTTTTTGGTGATATTCAGTTTATCGGTTAACATTATAACCTATGATCAGGAGCTAGATATGTATTTATTAACTAAAAGGTCTTTACTTCACTCTACGTGTGATCATATAATGTTCATTAAACGAAAATGTGTTTTTGTAAACAGTCAAATTTTGCTTAATAATGTATTATGGTGAGAACACGAACTTCCCGAAAACAACATAATTAAACGGGTTTCCTTTGATTGATCACTATGTAGTCTTCTGTATAGAAACTACGAAAGGACAAATACCATTACCCGCAAATGAAAGAAGTAGACCGGCAGATTTATTTGACACCGAAAATAGACCAGAAGCCATATTTTGGTACTGTAATTTTTACGGTGTTATTCATACTAAATATTAATCAGATTTGCAATAGACTTTAGGGGAGTAGAATCGGTTACGAAATTAATCAGCGACTCGTCGTATTGAGTTAACTTACTAATTTCGTAGGATTTAAGTGTACAAAATAAACCGGCCATTGAATTATATACTTATCCTCTTTTCTAAAAACTCAATTATTTTGTCGCGCATGGTCAGGTAATATTATCTGCTACCAGATGACATATATGTGAAATGGGATCTAGAATGCCAAACCTTAAGAGTTTTCTGAACAATAACTCAAATTAGCATATGTCAACGAATACTAAAAACAAGTATTTTCGAGGTAGCCTATTAAAAACTAAACAAAATGCTTTTTACTAATCACTCTAAATTTCCACTAGTGCTTGTTTGTTATCTACACTATTGATTGCCCATTCTTATATTTTAATCTAGCTACTTAGAAGAATTCATGCATTTGTTAGGGTCAATGCTATTTCTGCTTTCGTGATTGGCATTCGTTTACTAGGAATTTATGAACTTCCATTAGTCGACCACTGCAGAAAGTAAGAAGTAGAAGAATCCACATCGGGAAGACATTTATTTTTGGCTACATTGATTGCTAGTTTTAGTTAGTTTTAACCGGACAAAATACGGTAGTTTCAGTAATTTATCATATGATAATGCAGGTCAAAAGAAAGATCGATTGAAAATGATCTACTATGGATAGACTGAATACGAGATATGCGTACAACCTCATTCGCTTTATGACCTCATGAGGTTATAACATAAAGCATCTAAACTAAATAGACTAAATAAGAAAAACTGACACTAAATATAACTATAACGAACAAATGTATATTACTGAAATCTATAAAATGATGTATAAGTCAAATATTAAAAAACCTGTGAAATGTGGATAAATTTAAAAGGTTGCTTAAAAGTTATAACAATAGTAATTTTAAATGGATTGAGAGATGAGTGATGGATTAAGGATAGAATCCTATGTTCATAATAAGTAGAACAATGAATTTCGTACGTTTCATTTGCTTCTCCAGTTCTCATGAATAAACACAAATTAAGTAAATTATAATAAATTCTAAAATGGGAAATCTCCTTCCAAATTATGACTTGTGTCATAAAGTATTATTAAATTTTACAAGACGTTCTTTTTACAGATTATCAATTAAAATTACCTTATATAACCTAATGACTACAAAAAAACTATTGAATGAAACTAACCTTTTTTAATATATTTGATTGAAATAAATGTGAAGACAGTAATTCTCTTTCTTTTGCTGTTGCATGAATAATTTTCATTCTAGCAATAACAGTATTAATTAATTGTTTTTCACTGTTTGTAATATTCTTTAATGGATAATTTGTAACTTGAATTGGTAAATTGAACGCTTTTAAGCATCTTCCCTTGACAAACATTTCATCCCAACATTGAGATTTAATAACTTGCCAAGTAAATTGTTTTGCTAAATTTCTTAAGTTTATTTCTTTTCGAAGCTTTTATAAAAGAAAGATAAGTACATTTAATGTGAAGATGAAAACGTGAATTATAAATGGATATTTGATTGAAATCGAGAGAAAGTGAGAGAGATATTTGTATGTGAAAAGATTTCGGGACAATTGTGTACTAACGTCATGAACAATGATTGTTTTTTACACTTCGATTCTCTAATTCGAACCAATCCAGGTGTATTAATGTTTAGTTTACATTCAAAAGACAGTGTTACATAGCTCTGGATAATTGATAATGTTACACTTTCTAATGTGATTACTAAAAAAGCATAATGTAATTTTTCTCTTAGTTTCATCTAGTTCTTCTATCTTACCCTTAACCTAGAACCTCGTAAACACCAATTATACTGCTATGAATAAACTAATATATAAGAAAGATTAATATGAGTATAAATTAAAACAATTTCGTGCATACTTTTTCTACTAACCTGGTTGACCTCTTCCTTCGTTTTTTCTAAAATGACACTTTGTTCATCAATATCTAGCTCAAATTCTAACCTGCCAATACGTTGAAACTCAGGAAGACTTTCGTTTTCACTGACCATAGCATTGACCTATTTTTGTGTTTCATAAAAAAAGTATCAATAGTCAGGAAACTTGAAATCATAGTAATCTATGTTAAAATTATAGATCTACATTTCACTAACGAGTTACAGTAATAAGTAATAATTATCAGAACTTTTGCAAATTTCAGTTCAAACAGGTTTTGCGAGTGGTCATCAGTATTCCATATTATTGGATAAAGCAAACACTAAATTTCTCCCTATTGAAATGAATATTTAAGTAAAATTAATTTTTAAAGAAAAAGCACTATGAGGATCAGAAATTCTTATTTCGTTAGTCCAAATAATCTTAAGGCTGATACGTGGTATATATATATATAACAAATCTTACTGTATTTCTGATTTCATTCAATTCATTAAGAATTCTTGTCTTTGTTTCTCCAAAAATCAAGTCTTCTGAAGCTTCAGCATTAAGCTGGCAAGATTCTATCCATGTGTTAATATTTGAGTCAGTATCTCTTTTATAATAGGAAAACTCTTCTAAATCTGTATCTTCATCAGCATCTACCAATATTTGTTGATCAAATAATGAAAAGCTTGTACCAGATTGATGGGGTAATGTTGGTAAAACATCAGGATTTTGTAAAAGATTAACATTTGAATGTGATTGATTTTGTGTTATCCCACAACTTTTCATTTCTTTTAATTTAGTTAGTTGCTCATGTAACGATCTTAAACTTGGAAATAAACGGACTTTCGATTCCGTAATTGTACCTTCACTGTAATACAAAATAATCAAGAAAATTAAAAATTTAAAAAATGATGATGAAAATGCTGAATTGAGTCTTTACATAAAAAGAAACTATACAATGAAATATCCAAATGTGATCTTACTCGAATCACAAAATAAATATTATGAGAAGGGGTTTTGTGGAGATTTTAGAAATTTCACTAGTTGAAATCATGAGTCAATTGAAGCTAGAACACCATGGAAGACCTGATGCACTGGATGGGCGTTTCATCATACTATGGGACTCCACTGCAGTACGCATCCACGATCCCGCCACCCGCGAGATTCGAACCCAGGATCTATCAGTCTCGCGCGCGAACGCTTAACCATCAGACCATAGAGCCGGCATCTAATGGTGTTAATGTCTAAATTCAACCAATCCAAACTTCTAAATTCTCCACAAAACCCCTTCTCATAATAATCATCTGCTCGCTGGTGACTGACTCCAAGAGGCATTTCCTGAAGTTCTAGTTAGAAGCAGTGACCAGTGGAGTTCAACCAGGTCTGTTGTGAGATGTCAACTCACTGAAGACAATGGTGTACGGTGGCGCAATTTCGTGGATTGGTTGAATTTACACATTAACACCGTTGGATGCCGGTTCTGTGATCTGATGGTTAAGCGTTCGCGCGCGAGACTGATGAATCCTGGGTTCGAATCTCGCGGGTGGCGGGATCGTGGATGCGTACTGCAGTGGAGTCCCATACTAGGATGAAACGCCCGTCCAGTGTATCAGGTCTTCCATGGCGTTCTAGCTTCAATTGACTCATGATTTCAACTAGTGAAAATAAGTATTGTTAAATTCTGTATCCTCAAAACGTTTTATTTAATTATGGATAAAAATATAATGAACATTCACTAAACACTTAATTTAGGTTGTTTATTAACTATTTTGTTATAGTAATAGGCTATGATTAATTAATCATATATTTATTTTCTATATAACATACAGAAAAGTGTTTTCATGAATTTATTTCATCCATTAAGGTAGCCTCAGAGAGCATAATAAAAGTAACACATATCTTCTTTTCATAAAGCATTTCTGAAAATTCAACTAGTTCATAGTTCTTTGTATCAAACGCACTTGGAAGATCGTTAAAATATCTTTGAAAACCGAGGGAAGAAAAGGTAATAAATGGTTGCAGAAGGATAAATTCAGTATCCAGATAGGTTTTGGTCGAGAGGTGCAGCTTCTATGTCCAAAATTATATGGTCTGTGATGAAAGTTAACACTTTCAAAATCCGTCAGTTATACGATAAAAAACTTCATACTGACATGAAACTAATTAATTATCAATACCAGTCGGAAAAAAATTGACCATCAAAATCAACTAAGACATCTAAGATGGATGCGATATCAAAAATTATTATAGATGATCATTATTTCTGAATGGACACTCAAACCGCAATAATGTTATCGTTAAGGAAACAGATGAATTTCTACTCATGCGTGTAGAAACAGAAACTGAGCTCCCTAATTTTAATACCATTAAATGGTGATGTCAATAGCATTTAGGTTGATAATGACTGGACTGAAGGCTTCGGCACTGATAATAGGTAAACATATTAATAACATTAACAGACAGTAGTTTTTTGAAGATATTATTTTATATCTAAGTGTTTATAAAATATTTAACGAAACTAATTTGGATTATATATCATATTTGATTAGTCTTTCAAATCATTAAATGAATGAAATGAGCTGAATCATGGAACACCCAACTTGTTAGTATAAAATTCATTTGTTTTAATTTATTCCTTACTTAATGCTTACATTGTATAAAAAATCATATATTATACGAAAATAGATTTGTTATAAGCGGTGTAAGAGTAAATTCGTGATATGAAAGATCATTTAGGTAAACAAAATAAATATAAAGTTTTGATTGCCAAAACTTACCTTATTTTAACTCTGGCTAATAAACCATCTCCACCACATGTGATTAAGCTATTCAAATCTTTACAGAACTCTGCAGCGATTATACCACGTGAATTAGATTCATGAATATTTATGGAACACTGAAGTGAAACCTTGTAAACATGAATGGAAAACAATATGAACAGAACAAAGTGCACTTTCATAAGGGGTTTGGTGGAGCGATGTGGTAAAACTAACCAGCTCAGTAACAGAAAACTTTAAAAGTGAGTAGACACACTGTAGGTGTTGAATAAAAGTTGTTTAAGGTAGTTGGTGGTCTGACCTGTGCAGCACATGACAGTTATTTATCCTGTTGGTTACTGAATAATATTTCTGGAGAACTTGTAGCTGATATCCGCCTTGCTTCCATAATATCTTCAAAGCAGTACGAATTAATTTACTACACAATATGTGCTAAGTGAAAAAATACACAAAATACTTTATAGATCTATGATGAAATTGGTTGGGCGTCGCTTATCGAAAATGTATTAATATAATTATATTTATCAGTATAGGGTTGCGGATGTTGCTGGGCTTCATTGAAATCATAAACCGATCGATGTTAAACCACCAGTGAAGACCCGGAAGCACTGACCGGTCGTCTCGTTGTAGCATGAAACCCCTAAACAGTGTGAATCCACTATGCTGTACGTGGAAATGAAGGCCAAAACCTCCAGTCTCACGAGGGGACGCTTAACCTCTAAACCACTGAGCCGACATGTAACGGTGTTAGTGTCTAACCTCGATTAAGCCACGATATTGTGGGACTGACTCAATTGATGGCATTACTGAGGAAATCCGCTCATGATGCGCATACGTCAAAACAGTTATTTACATCAACAACAAAAGGATTCAAGCCCTTAAAAATAAAACAAAGTTCATCCCCGTTTTACATGCCAGCGACCATAAGAACTCAGTAACCAAGTGAAAAACACGTTGAGCATTTGAAACGATAAGTATTGGAATTAAATCCTGGTATGAACATCAAAATTCGGAAGTAAGTATATTCAGCCGATGAAACAGAAATAAGATTGAATTCGCATCCTCTATTCAACCCCCACTTAATATCAAAAATTGCTTACAAAATCTCCTATTTTTTGGTAGTTGTGAATAAAGGTCAAGATAATATGAAATAATTATCTTACAGTTTCATTTATACTAATAATTTGAACTGATCCATCCATAGAATAAGCTAGTAATGAATTAGTACCAGATATTCTTGTAAATTTGATGCTTTTTGATTCTTGTAAAATGTCATAGGTGTACTCTGTGGTAATATGTAGTAGATTTTGTTTCTAGTAAAGAAAATAAATGAAAACGTGCAAACTAATTATTCAATGGAGGAAATATCTGTAACAGTAAATTACAATATTTCTGATTTTAAAATTTGGTAATTCAACATTCCATTTTCAATTCAAATGTGTTTTTTGGAGAAAAATTTACTTTAAGGAAATAGTGTAATATTTATTGTAAACCATATTTTTTAAATGTTATAAATTCTCTTCCGTATATCTTTCAGAAGAGTCTATAAATAATTGATTGATTTCAATCTATAATCCCGTTTAACACATTTATGATTCGACCAATAAAGTTATTTGCCATGTTATAGGCATCCAGCTGACGAGTCCCAAATAGGAAGGAATACGCGTCTTGGATTCCATTGCTAGCCACTATCCATCTTTGCTTATAAAGCTTGTGACCTAAGGCAATATCGAGGCAGTTCGCACAGGATACACATATGCCAATAAGAGACTGATCAATTGCAGTCCTAAATAACAATGGGAAAATACAAGTAAACAACACCAAGTGAATATGATTTTTCCGTTCTAAATTTTTAAACATTTTATGAATCTGTATACTGTAATCATAATGCTTAAAAATAAAACCGGTAGTGTTTACAACATTTGTGACCTGCTTAGATAGTAAACTTGAGTTATAGTGATTTTTAATGAACATGAAGATATAAAATCGTTGCTAATCATTATGTGTCGCAGAAATAATACTTAAGTAGTTATTCTGAATCAGACTAAATATTTGCAAGGGTTCAATAATTTCGACCGATAACTTTCATATTATTGATATAGCTTATAACTCATTATCAACTACCTTTTGTGATTCATCGATGCAAAATATTTCCAATCTATGATATTGAGAATCAGCTGCAATTAACAATGGTGATGTTGATTCATAAACATCATTTGATGGCCAATAACAGACACCAACCTTCGGTTTTTGAAAATTCCATTTGATAAGCTTAATTTTATCTTCATTTAGTTTTCGATAGTTATCAACATAGTCTAATTCATTATCTAAAAATCAAACAGAAAGTTATTGAAAAATATCATATTATGATAGATTTGGCATTATTCATCAAAAGAGAAATGAATGGGTATATGAGCAGGGTTTTTTCAAAAACTATATTTGATCCTTAATAAGACATTCATGAGAACCATGTAATTTAATGGTCGACAGAAATATTATATGAAGGGAGTCCAAATCTTTCCTGATAAGGTTGATAATTAATTAAATAATTTATATCATAAAATTCAATTAAAACCAATATAATAAATTTAATTTACATTTCTCAAATTCTTAAAACTGATTTTTTCAAAAAAATAAAAACCTCTTTCACTGAACTTGAATAGAGTAAAATGAATTAGTGTAAAAGTAGTCAAAATAATGATCAGAGTACTATAGAACTTTTAGATAAGATTAGATTCTAAAATAAAGTTTGGAATATGAGTCTTGATTTATTGATTATAACGAACTTTTTCTAAGATTCATTATATGAAAATTGCTTTTTAGAAAATTATTAGAAGAGCACAAGTTGCAAGCAGTCAATAAAAGCATATAATAAGCACTTTAAAACGTTAATAAAGGAAGTAACATCAAATTGTACGGAAATGAGATATTTTCAAGATTAACTACACGTACTGACATTCAATGCATTCATTAATAATTGGATTGAATATATTAGGTTGGTTAATTATTATGGTTCAACTTTACCAGTTCTAAACAAAGTGGAAATAACAATCAACATTTTTTAACTGACTTTAAATTCGAGTTTGTTTTAACGTTACTTTAAGACTCAGAAAAGTATTCATTAAACAATCAAGTAAACTGAATAAATTGATAACCACAGAGTATAGAAAATAGATTTCAATCCCTACATTTCACTAAGACAAAGTGAAAATACCGTTCATTTTTGTTTCTTATAAAAATTCTCTATAAATAAACATCTATTTCACGAAGTGAAATTTGTATTAATTGTAAAAATAGCCTACTCATAGATTACTCTATTTAACTTACTACTTCCAATTTCAGCTGGTATTTCGTACTGGTATACAGCCTCAGCAGTTTTATTGGTATCATTACTAACAGCAAGAAGAACAAAGATCTTCTGTGAATCTTTTGATCGAATCATGCTTAAATTATGCACTCTACCACTAAATGCTGTAAATGATGAGAAAGCATATGTTGAAAATTATTATTTCAGACAATAAATTAAAGTAGACTTATGAAAAAGTTGTTAAAAATCTAAGAAACTTGAATAAACTTAAATAAGTACCAATGGTACTAGTGTATGAACTACTCTCCAGTTTTGTGGTTTTCCATTATAAAATTTGACAACCACAAAATCTTAAAGCAAATTCATCAGAGAGAATGAAATGGGTATAATTCTTAAATCTAGGTGAACTTACAGTTAAATGGGTTCCCTCTAATTACATAGTGAACAAATCATTTCGAAATAATGACGACAAGTTTTTCCTTGACTAGTAAGGTAGAAAGAGCCATACATACACGCCTTCATCACAATGATAAGGTACAAAAACTGAAATTGAAAGATTCCAATTCTGCTTCTTCTTAAGGTAATAGAAGAGTTTTTTAAACTGTGCAGAATACCAAGTAAGAACAAATAATTTCTATTACAGCCCTTACCTTAGATCTCGTGCCATGTTAACAATCACCACTTTGTTCCAGGGAACAGTGTGGTGCACGGTATATATATACCAGTATGGTCTATATTCTTTCATGCAAAACATATTATAATAAATAAATTCACAATTTTCATTATGGAAATCCTTATCGTTGGTCATTATTTATCGCTATATAAAATGTAGTTAAACTGTTTGGATCTTTGCCGTCTAATTTCATATCTGGTACTAAAACTCTGTTTCAAAATAGAGTACTTGATTTCCTGAAACTATCGTCAGTCGAATATATCGGAGTTATGTGGTGTCCAACCATTTAAGGTTGGTGAAACCTCACTCCGTAAAGCCAATTGGTTTATCTGGATTATAATCTGCTTTCCGAGGCTCACGAACTCACCGCGTGGACGTGGTTTCGTGTCATAAAAGTTTGAACACTTTATTTTAAAAAAAACTTGAAAAATAATCACTTTGAAGTTTGTCAGTTTCTTAAACATAAACGATAAGTTCGTGGGTTATTAGTGCATTTAAATTTAACCAAAGTATTTTTCATCTTAAGTCAACCTTTCTAGTTGTTTGAAATTTAGAAAATCAGGTTACGGCTAAATTTTAAAGTAACATTGCCGTTGTTCTTAGTGGAGGGATGAGTAGTATTTGAATGAATCATGATCAACAGTCATATGTATGAAATTTGGCTAAATAGCTATTAAACGCTTTCAAAGCAAAACGTGGATTTAAGTCACAGTTTTTCATAGTTTTACTTCACCCTTGCATTACAGATATATTAGTTAATAAGGCTACTTCATGATTGGTGAATAATCATTTACTATTGTAAGTAAGTAGACAGAGGTTCAGGAATGGTGATCAATTAAACCAAAAATACAACCAACTGCAGTAGCTGTAACCAGGCAAACATCTACTCTTACACAGTACTAGAGTAAAAATTAGATCAACGGTTTATCACCAGGTAAAACCTACTATTACAATACAAACTGTTGTATATCATAGTGTTAGGTTATGAAATTTAGGTTAAGATAACATGTTTTTTTCCCAGTGTACCTTAGCAGTTGTTATCAAGTATTTGTTATACTTATAATTGTTTTCAGTATACTTTCTATCAATACATTTATGATTATTAAGAAAATATTATGATTAAACTTACACACATAACCTATTGGTTTAAAAGATTTGTTAGGTAATGCTGATACTAAAATACTTGGACCATCATCTATTACTGTAGTTAAAAATTCACCATCAGGGTCGAATCTGAAAATAAAATAAAAAACACATTACTGAGTAGTATAAAAATGAATTATTCATTAATTGTATGATATATTGTTAATGACTTTATATTTTAAAATTATTAAACTGGTTCATGTTTTCTAGAAATAGATGATCTAAAAAAAATGAAATTATTCGATTCGATTTAACTAAAACAATTTTAAATAGGAATAAAGTTTTAATTGACATTTAAAATATCATAGTAATTAAATATAAAAACAAAGTAACCTAAGATAATAATAATTATTTACAAGTGGAATAAACGAGTTATTTCATTATCAATAACAATTAATAATAAAAAAAATCCTTGTTATTTTAATGTAGACTTTCATAACCATACTCTTAGTAGTATATAGAATAAATGACAATTTTTTATTTTATTTACAAAAACAATAAGTTGATTTTGAGATACTTCATATTAAATATTTATGTGTGTCAAATTCTTTGTATACATGGTAAATAACTTTGTTCCTTGTGATTTAGTTCGTGAATTTTGACTGGTATTAATTATTCATATATATATATATATATATATATATATATATATATATATATATATATATATATAAATGGTGTGTGTGTGTTGTAATTTTGAGCAGCTTTTTCAGTTTATATCAACTTTTACATAATGTGATGATTGAATTCATGAAACAGTTAAAGCTAGACCACTATGGAAAACCTAGAAGCACTGAAATGACGTTTCATCCTAGTGTAGGACTCCTCAGAAGTGCGCACCCACGATCCCGCATGCGATATTCGAAACCAGAACTTATCGGTCTCGCGTGCGGACACCTAACTTGTACACCAATGAGTCGGCGTCTAACGGTGTTAATGTCTAACTTCAATCGGTATATATATATATATATATATATATATATATATATTCGATAAACTTTTGTCCTTAGTCTATTTTTTAATAGTCGACAATTTAAGTTACAAATGAACTGTTTTGTAGAAATTATTATTATACATTGGATAGTGAATATTTTATGATAGAATATTATATTGAATTATATAGTTTTTATTGATTAGTATATCATAGTAGTTAGTAATTTATCATTATTGTATGTAGGTTATGTCATCCACGTTTAATTTGAGTTTTTAATACTCATAAATTATCATCACTTTTTTTGTGATAACATTCACTAACTAAAATTATCTGAAGTAAAACAGTGTTCATAAACACTTTACAATTGCAAAATATGAACGATTACTGGATAAATCTGGTATTTATCTGTTTGGTCAGATAGAATGATAATTTATTAGATCAAATTTGGTAAACTCATTGATTTCTCTGTTTGTCTTTTCATGAGAATGTTTTCCTGCTTTTTGTAACTGAATATGTCATTAGTGATGCAGTGCTCCGTCAGGGAGCACCAGTTCTCTCAAAATTACAGGTACATTTTGTTGACGAGTACCAAGTAGTACGAAACCTAGATCCAGGATTCCTGTTGACTACCTCCAGCACCATCTTATCGCAAGTAACATGTTGTATTGAAATAAGTACAATGTGTTCTTTATTCTTGTACACAAAATAAACACCTCAGTTATGTCTAAAAGGTAAGGGCGTCAGCTTTTAATATTACATGAAGGATAATCCGACAAAAATGTACAAATAAAAGTACTTCATAATATACACTCACGCAATATGTGTTAGAGGTTTACGATAGAGTCGAATAACATTTACAATTCTCGGTGAAGTCGGACTAGTAAAGTCGATAAACATTATAGAGCCAGAATTCATTCCAGCAACTGCCAAAGGCAAAACTGGTGAAATGGCCAAACAATGACACTAAGTTGAGGAAAAAATAAGAATCTTTGGTAGATTAAAAAGTTTTTCAAATATTTTTCAATAATAAAGATCGTGTTGTTACGAAAAAACAGGGTTCTTAGAAGTTACGTACTATACTGTCAAAAATCGTGTTTCAACATAGCATATCATTAGTTTATGCAATATTATCAGCCCGTTTACTGACTTATTTTCATAATTAAAGCACCAAAAACTGATACGGAAAGTTTCTCAGCTGACTAAAATTTACTAGTTGTTAAAACATTACAAGCTTTAATAAGCCATATCAAGTATGATGTTTATCATTACTTGAGGAAGACTAAACCAAGTAATAAATAACAGGTATCCACAAAACATTTTTAGAAAAACACTAAATCACCATTCTGTACAGAATATAGAATTCGATCAGCACTTTGCTAACGAGTGAAAAATAGCACGTAACCTAGGTTCATGGCTTTCTGTGGATTACTTCCAACCACCGCCTTACATTTCAAGATACTATAAACCATTTCGAGTCACTTAGACTTGTGGCTACATCGCAACTAGGCTTATAAAATTCGATTAACACTCAGAAAAACTTAACGTAAATGACACTGACCACTTCTCAGTGATTAATCAATTGCGAAAGTATGCAACTTTTGTGACATAAGAATATATGCTTTTTTAAAAATATCTATCTAGAGAATCTGTTCTGAGAACACTCTATCTCTTATAAAGTAATCGGTTTATATGCATTTATTACAAAGTGGTTTTAAAAAGGACACTGTCAGACAAAATTTTATAAAACCATGAAATTTCAAGGAAACAAAATTTCCCAAAACTTATGTGTCACGAAACATTTGAGGTTAAAACCTTTTTTTTACCAATACATAGATACCAAGTCAAATTCTGTTCAATAGCAACTCATTTTAGAAGGCCAACACATGATAATTTTTGCGTCCATACAAAGTTAAAATTTTCATTATTTTCATTATAATCACTGGTGGTTTGTAAACAATGAGCTCTGAAGTTGATCATTCTTACCGCTATTCATCAAGTACATCAATCAATAATTACAAAGATAGTTATAAAGAATCAAAGTTTTCAAATAACTAATTAATAATATAGCAAATAGAATTTCGTGAATGTTTCATCTACATTACTAATGTATGGTAATTTTTCCCATTATATCGTTCGTGAAACCTCAAATTCATTCTTAGTTACTTGTTAGTAGTATAATTTTATTTATCTAATTAAAATGCCACTTAATAATAAAATGTTTATGAGATACATAAAGTAAAGTGTATCAACAGTAGACTTTGGAATATGGAAAGATAATATTCCTACATTAAAAGTACATGATATTTGATATAGTTTTGTTATTAAATGAAATAATAATTCAAAACAGATGATATTTTGGGAAAAATATAAATTAAGACTTCCATCATATGACAAATTTATTAATGAATATTCTGTATTTTCGATGTAATTGCTCTTGGCATGATTTCAAATATTCTAAGTAACAATTTCTATTTGTCAGACATAAACCTTTGTCATTTATAAAAGATAAATTATATGTCTCGAATGAGTTAAATGTCAAAATGAGAATTAGGTTAAACAAAATAAAATCTCAGATGGGTTTTGTGGATATTATAGTAATTTCAATGGTTAAGATCATGAGTCAGTTGAATCTAGAACACCATGGAAAACCTGGAAGCACTGGACGGCCGTTTCATCCCATTGTGGGACTCCTCAGCCGTGCGCATCCACGACCTCGCCTCCTGCGAGATTCGGACCCAGGACCTACTACTGGTTTTACGCGCCAGCACTTAACCACTAGACCATTGAGCTGGCATCCAATGGTGTTAATGTCTAACTTCAACTAATCTGTTGATTTAGTTTTCATTGTAAACTGCTTGAATAAAATATATCCATTTATTTAAATTACAAATATCGATAAAATTACATTATTACGGAAAAAAAGAGGATGGAATTAGTATGAGTGAATGAGAAATGACAACAAAAGAGAATAATAATCAGTACAAAAATAATTAGATATAACTTCTTACTCTATAATTGAGAAATAAAGATCCAATCAATTCTCCAGTTATGCAATCCCAACAATTGATTATACCGGTAGTTCCTGCAGTCTTTACAATAGACAAAATGATAAACCAGTATTTAAACCATAATTTATACTGAAAATTTTTGGAAATCAGTGATTCCAATATGAAGCATACGAAGACCAATTTAATGTGATTACTTACATACCAGATACTGTTAGTGGTGAAAAACAATAATTTACAACTTAAATTTAGTCATATGATGCGTAGTAATACATACATTCAATGGTAACTTTGAGCGTTTTTATCAGTGGACCTTATTTTAATATCATCTAAATGTGCATATATTTCAATAATTACATGTCCCCTAAATATTGTTCAACAGTTTTCACACCGTTTCTTGACGTTACGAACATTTTCAGATTTTTTAAATAGTATTTATTGTGTTGCCATTGTTTTGCGAATCCCGTTTGAATAAAAATCACAATTAAAAACTGGGTTACTGTTTTACTAAATATTTTAACTCAGTTATCAGAACGGACATATTTCTGGTTTGTCTTAATAGATCAAAAATACCATCGTCCACAAGTTTAATTCACAAGTTTCCTAAGTCAGAACAAAACACCCGAATGATTTTTCAAGCAACGTGTGCCCCGAATGGCTTATTCTCTCGTAGCACTACGAAAATTCTTGAATTACCAGGGGATTCATAAAACAAATAAAAAAAATTAAGTTGGAACTTGCTATCTTAACAGTGTCGGAACGATAATGTTTGCAAAATAAAATGAATTTGTTATATTTCATGGCTTCTTATCATCAGCAACCAGCTTTATTCAGTGAGGTTTATATGATTATGTGAAAAGAAATAGAAATTGAGAAGAAGAATAATAATAGGAGGAATAAACATGTCATAAATATTATTGTATGCATCCAAGGAGAGGCCATTTGATAGAATGAGTTCATTTTGTTCTGCAAGTCTTATTGATGACGCACTATTTGAATTTATTAAGAGAACTTGTTTATAGTCTGTTATTGTGCAAAGCTACTTAACCGAGAATTGGAAAACCAAAGTGTTCTCGGCCATGGGAATAGTTAAAGCAAAAACAATTTTTATTCCATCTATTTCTTTAAACAATTCTGTTTTTCAATAGTTTGTTGACAAGTATGTCGTAAAATTGAGTTATACTACTTGTACCTTATTCAATAGTGTAAATATAAAAGTTTTCAACTTGGAAATGCTTAAAAGTAACCAAATATTATTATTTATCACTTGGCCCGATATAAAAAATTAGTACTAATAAATTTCAATAGGTATAAATCTTCTATGAACTTTTTATTCATATGAGGAAATATAATAAACTTATGGTCTGAGCCTCAGAGACAGCGAAAATTAGTTGCGGGCGAATCACTTGGCTCAAAATGGATAGTTATGGTAAAGATTATCTTGTGCTTTCGTTGACTTAAAATTTTGAATATTCATTCGGTATTCCTTTGTTTTTATCTGCACATGGTAAGATTGTTTTGATGAATCACTAATGTTAAGCATAGATAAATAATATCTTGATTAGTGTATCAGTGAAAATTATTGCACTAACAAAGAGTAGATCAAAACGGATACTCAAATTAACTTACAACACAAATTATTGATTTTTCAAATCTAATTAGTCCCATTCCAACAAATCGATCACAGTTAGTAAACATTTCTTTATCAAGACTGAGAGTAGGCTGTAGAGAATCATGTAAACTAAATAAACTCAAATAACCAAGCCGACAACTAACTGCAATTTGTCTATAAGACGATGATATACTCAAACCTGTAATATTTTTACCCCAATGGTATTGATTATTTTGCATCAGGTTTTCAAATTTATAGAGATTTATACAATTTTGAATTTCAGTGTTGAATAAATAATTTTCACTATTTTTTGCTAATGATCCTTCAATTACTTTGACAGATAATTGATCACTTTGTTTGTTGAGTGGATTTATTTTATTAACTATCGTTTTTGTTGCTTTACTTAAAATTAGTAAACGTAGAACACCATCACTACCCCCGGCTAATAAACCATGCGTTGTATATAATATATAGGTTAAACATCCTTCTAGTTTATTGACTATTTCCACTTCTGAATTAATTAATGAAGACTCTGTTGAAATTAAATCACAATTGCAATCAGTTCTATCAGGAGTACTTTCAGACGCTTCTATATATTCAAAAAAGAATGTTAATTAATAAAATAAAATAAAACGCTTATCAATGAACTGATATGGAAAAATGAATTTTTCGCATGTAAGTAATAAATTCATATATATAGTATAATAGCCTGATAATAAAATAGTCATGAAAACGTTCATATCCTTTTTATTACAGCTCTGACAGTCAGTCAGCTACAATGTAGGACCAGGCACATATGTACATCGATCCAAGTTGTCATACCTCATTAGCACAACAAGATGAAAACCGAACTCATAGAAGTAGTTTAATTCAATGGTGGTAATATATAAAAGAAAGATTGTGTATAAGGATGTAATACATAAAGAAAAAACCAGTTCGTAGAAAGGAAGATATGAAGCTATCTGAATCTCATAGTTTAAAGGAAGATAGAGAGTGTATACACCTACGCCATTGTGATCGATTCTAAGCCATGTCACCCTCAGTCTCCAACCATTGGTTACGATAGTTACGCGGACTCCAACCGAGTAGTCTACATCTACCAACATGGCTCGGACTAGCACTGATGCCACGTTTTGGTTTGGCCGCCCCTAACTTTCTTCCAACTATCCTCAACACTAGTCTGCATTGCGCGTCGTGATAATCGGAGTTCAGGCATACGCAACACGTGGCCCAACCATCTCAGTCCATGAAGATTCATAACCTCATCAACTGATTCTCCGTCATTCCCTAATACCCTGCGTCTAACCTCACTATTACTTACCCGATGTTCCCAGCAGATGCGAGCAATATTTCTAAGGCATCTGTGGTCAAATACTAGTAGCTTACGAGTATCTCCTACTCTTAATGGCCACGTTTCTCAGCCGAAAAGTAGAACAGAACGGACTACCACGCAGTATACTCGTACTTTAATTGATAGATGGATATCTCGCCTTCTCCGTAGGTGACGTAAGTTGGCAAAAGCCAAGCGAGCTCCTCGAATCCGTGCTAAGATTTCGTCAGTCACCAACCCATTATGGCTGACCAAACTTCCAAGATAGGTGAAGTTGCTAACGCGTTTGACTACTTCACTCCCTATCCTTAGTTCAGGTGTTGACGCAGACCAGTCCTGAAGCAACAACTTGCAGTTAGATGTGGAGAAACGCATCCCAAACATTCTGTCATTGTTGCCCAGTGCTACCAAAAGACTGCATTTTATCAGCGTCTTCACCAAACAGGACTATGTCATCTACGTATTCTAAGTTGATAAGTGGATCTCCTGGTAGGAAATCAATGTCCGAAAATTCAGTCGACGAGAAAGTTATTTCCAGCAGTACGTCTATGATGAAGTTAAACAAATATGGAGAGAGTGAATAGCCTTGATGGACACCAATTGAGGTTTCAAAAGCGGATGACAGTTCGCCATAAGCTCTGACTCGACTAGTAGTGTTCGAGTAAAGAGCCTTCACAAGGTTTATGTACTTCTGAGGTAAACATTCCAACGACAGACACTGCCACAGAATCTCGTAGTTTACAGAGTCGAATGCTGCTTTTATGTCAAGAAAGACCACCATTGTCGGACGCCGATAAGTATGTCTGTGTTCTAGAACCTGACGAATGGTGAATATGTGGTCGATGCAGCCACGACCAGGTCTGAAACCAGCCTGGTTTTCTTATGTTTGCAGTTCACGAGTCTTAGTTAAGCATCCGATAATTATTGGTGCTAGTATTTTAGATGCTATGCTAGTCGAAAAAAAATCCCTCTATGGTTATCACAGGATGATTTTGACCCCTTCTTATATATCAGGACAATCAGTGATTGTGGCCAATCAGATTGGATTACGTCCAACTCTCAGATTTTAGCTAAAATATTAGTCAACCTAATTGGACCACCATCCTTAAAGACCTCTGGAGCTAATCCATCTGGACTAGCTGCCCTTTCTCGTTTCAGATTAACTATGGCCTTTTGAACATCAGCTAGAGTTGGGGGACCTACTTCAATGTTCCATTCACACTGTCTGGGAATGGAGGGTAGTTGTAAAGTAGCCGAAGGCCAGCTGAACTGCTCCTTAAAATGTTCTGCCCATCATTCTAAACGTTTGAACTGGATGCAAATAAAAATGTCGTCTTTTTCTGAGATAGTTTCACAAACACTTGACTTATTAATTCCAGTTTCTTTGATTAGTCTGAAGAGCTGTCTTGTACAACCTATAGCCGCCTCCTTTTCCATCTCCTTTGCTTTCATTGCCCACCACTGCTCACAGTCATTCCTTAGACTTTTGGTTAACCTAGATCTGACTTGTTTTCGCTCTTCATCATGTTCGGAGCCTGATGGGATGAGTTTAGGAGAACCCATCAGTGCAATAGATTTAGAAGAAATCCATTGGTTCGTTGTAACCCTTTGATTTAAATCACTGATAGATGTCACTGCTGTTTCCATAGCTGTTTGTATTATTTTTCCAAGCAACATCTGGGTCAGCCTTGTTTTCAGAACTACCTAAGTGTGACCTCAGTTGTTCCTGGAACCTACTTTTAGTTTTCTCATTACTCGATTAAATTCTGATGGGTCTTTTTAGTGTGGCTTTTCTGCATCCAGTGAGGCCCAAGCAGATGCGTGCCCGTATTAGAGCATGGTCGGAGTTCAAACAGGTACTCCAGAATGAGCGACAATCTTCTATCGACCCTCTCCAACGACGACTGATGGCAATATGGTCTATTTGACTTCACTGTTGGTTTGGTGCAAGGGGTCGCCATGTTAAACGATGTCTCTCCTTATGCAACGTGTGTATGCAACGACATGTGGCCCTATCCTTCAGAGTTCTTACGAAGCCATTTAGCCGAACAGCACATAAACGACTGTTAACGGGGATCTACTATAATAGTGCTTGTTCCGCCCTCGTACTTAGTTCTATCCTTACATCTACCAGTCCACAACAACTAGCCATCCGGTCGTCAGATACACAGAGGGTGTATCTCGTCGGCTCTCCATTTTGGCGAGATGAGGTCAAGTGAATGACCACACTAGGATCCTGTGTGTGTGTTTCAGAGACACAGCATACATCAATGGTGCGAGAGTCTAGGGTTTTAGCTAAGAAGGCATGTTGGCCGATTTGACACAGGTTACTTAAGTTGAAGGCTTTAATGTGTAGTTTGGAGCAAGATTTCAGTAGACCTGGGACAGTGTTTTGCGCAGTAGAATCATTGGCCATGGAGACACTTGAGGAGGAAGCCAAAAGAGGAAGGTCGATGTAGGAGGAATAATAGGAACTGAAGAGGGAGGTTGATTATAAATACAGTGGTCTTGAGTGCTGTCAGAGGTATGAGGGAAATTATCACGTCCCGGTTGCCCACACCGTGGAAGGGTTTTTCTGGATGTACCTGAAAACGAAATTGGATTAAAGGTGGTCTTAGTGATTTGAGAGCGTAACCACAGTGCCCAAGGGACAACTGCTTGAGGTCGGTCACATACAACCCTTTTGTGAGTAATCTTCGTGTTAGCTCCGCACTTGTTGAGACCTTACCGCCCGAGACGGATATCCATGGGATAAGGCGAGGTGTGCATTTTTAGGGTCAACCTTTTCTAACCTCACCCCTCCTTATGGGAAGACAACATCGCTGTTATGCTAGTTGTCCGAAGGAAACACCTTGCCGCCGTCACACCTCTGTACAGTCAGCAGTACGACTTCACCCTCAGACCTTGGATTTGCTGCTTTTAGACTAACCGCTCTTCAACCGACCTGTCTGGCATGGTAGGACCTTGAGGAATGATTGTTCCAGGCAGCATAGCTCGATTAGTTCATCACGATAGGGAAGCCCGACCACCACGTCAAGGTAGCAACAACGGTCGGGAGCTCTGAGATCAGGTTTACAGTAATTATTTTTGCTTGAAAAATATCTAATGATATGAAAACGGTGAACCTTACTCTTTGATATTAATATTTTACTGAATAAAACATCCAGCCCAAAACTGATACTTAATTACAAAACGATCAAGTATGAACAGAATAGTGTTATATATAATCGATTATTTGTTTGCAAATTATTAGCATGTTACAGATAAATAAAAAATATTTGTCATTATTTATCTATGTTGTTCAGAAGAAATTTTAGAAAAATCTGTTAATTTTCATAATTGTTATTGCACTATTGTCTTCCTTACCTGTGAGACACTGACAACGAGAAGCTGGGTTCAATAAAATTTTCACATTCATGCTGAGGGGGTCAAACTTGAAAAGAAAAAGAAATAATAAACTTTTTATCAGAATGGGTTTTGTGGAGATTTTAGAAATTTCATAAGTTGAAATTATGAGCCAATTGAAGCTAGACCACTATGGAAAACCTGGAAGCACTGGACGGCCGTTTCGTCCTAGTACGGGACTCCCCATCAGTGCGCACCCACGACCCCGCACCTCGCGGGATTCGAACCCAGGACCTACTGGTTTCGCGCGCGAGCACTTAACCATTAGACCACTGGTCCGGCATCCAACGGTGTTAATGTCTAACTTCAGCCAATCCACGAAGTTGCGCCACCGTACACCATTTAAAAATGTGAATTCACTACAAAAGATAAAAGAAAGAATTCAATATTACATATAGTTGGATTATTTACGAGGTATCCAGTTTTGATTTTAGGGTTAAAATTACACTAACGTTTACAACACCATTATCATCAATTCTTTGGATTTTTTAAACATGGCTGTTTTCTATATTTATTTCACTCCCCAACATTTAAATGGGCTAAACAGTAAGTTCCAAAATGTAATTCAATGACATCAAAAAACATAGTTAAAAACTAGGAAAGTCTTTGGAATTTTTTACCTACTGCAACTATGCACCAGTCGGAACGGCATTTGGGGAGGTTAGCGCTGAGTGTTTTTTTACCGGGTCTATTGCAGCATTTATCCCCCTAAATACTACGAGGCTTCCTAACAGATAAAGTTTTACTGACAGTGAAGTTTTCATTAAAATAGGTTTAATTTATCTGCTACAAGTATAAGTCTGTCTCCATGATCAGGTAGGTACTTAGGTAATCTGCTTTAATTCTTGAAAATTAGGGCATGAAAGATATTTTTTATTATATTGGATCAGTAATAACACTAAAACAGGAATAAAAGTTCATTATCCAGTTAAATCACATTTCTGAAATATATGTGATCGATGCCGTAACCGTAATAAGGATAAAATGTAATATTTACTTATCATTTATGATGTGCTAACCTAACTTTTCATTACTTACATTCAAAGTAACTAAATTATTCAGACCAAACTTACAAAACCCTTTATACATACACATAGGATACGCATTAAATTTATGTGAAGCCTCATATTTTAACGCTTATTGGATAAATATTGATAACTAATGAATGAATTTAATAAAACATTTCAAGGGTTTGAAGTATAATCGTAGATTAGTTGGTCAGTGAATTATTTCTAATAACAGCTTCTAAATTAACACCTGTGGTTGAAGTTAGACATTAACACCATTGGATGCCAGCTCAATGGTCTAATGGTTAAGTGCTGGCGCGTGAAACCAGTAGTAGGTCCTGGGTCCGAATCTCGCAGGAGGCGAGGTCGTGGATGCGCACGGCTGAGGAGTCCCACAATGGGATGAAACGGCCGTCCAGTGCTTCCAGGTTTTCCATGGTGTTCTAGCTTCAATTGACTCTTGAATCCAACTATTAAGTTACCTATGAAAATATTCAGATGAAGAAGTCTGAAAATAGTCGAACAACACTATGGTTTTGGTTAACTACTGATAGCATGGTTATTAAGGTATTAGTGAAGAGTCTGAGAAATATATTCTAGACAACCAAATAAAGATGAAAAGTTGAAAATCGTAAATGAAACGTACCAATAACAACTGGCCTCCTTCACAGCCGATAAAAACTAATTTTGAATTTGTCCAAGTCTGTGAAACGCAATTTAATCGAACAGATATGTCCATATAGTCGTCAAACTCCTCTTCTCTGGATTCATTGATTCCTTACCAAGTAGAAAAACGATAGATGTTAATGAAAGTAACACAAGACAGTGAATAAGTGAAGCAGAATATAATAAAAGCAATAGCAAATATTAAGTCACCTGTAATTGAAGATTTCAGTATATTTGGATCAAATTTTGTTTCATGTCGTATACCTGCAGTATCTCCATTTGTCTTAGTGTTATGTGATCCATAATATGGCCCAAGATTAACGGTACGTTCTGGTAATATCATCGAACTGAAATCAAAATTTATGAAGTTAGTAATGAATCAGTAAGATATTTATTAAATGGAACTAATTATTATTCATTTGGAAATAAATATCTAACGTACATTAGGATATACTCAAACTATGGTTTATGCTACGTGAGTATAACAAACAAAATGATACCTGACTATTGATTTTCTTCGATATTTTGTTCAGAATGTTGATTCCGCATTCTTGAACCTACGCCATTTGTAAGCGCTAGGATATTTGAATGCATTATCTATAAACTTATTTCATGACTTACCAAGTCAGTGAAACATGTTAGAGAGAATAGAGGACCAAAGAAGTATACATGTATTCTATTTCAGATATTTTCGAAGCACTTTCTGCCGGTGTTTTGAATAATACAGTTTAAGATACGTTTCAAGTCCTGAGACTGAACACCTATTTCTGTCTCGTTTTTCTTAAGTATTCATATAAGTGAAACGTAGCCAAGTAAATACATTTATTGTTGTTCAGGGTTATATAAAGCTTTCTTGTTCTCAAAAATGTACGTTATAAATATTAAAAACTTATATCAATAAGAATTTAGAAATAAAGATTTGACCAAGTGTTATCAAACTCAGTAATTAAAATCTTGATACGGCATCTCAGTAGCCCATGAATATGGGGCTAGTCTTCGGAAGAACAAATGTGTAACTTGTTGGAGAGTTAGTGATTGAAATAAGCGAATTAAACAAAATTAAATCAAAATAACGTTGATTTATAATATGACTAGAGATTTAGTAGCTCTTCAGTTTATTGATATTTATACCCATTTTTTAGAAATAAAGTTTACAGTTACTTAGCTTATATAGTTTTGTTATGATACAATTAATAAACATACATTTGTGTATGCCGGTAGGATAGTAAGTCTTACTTGCATTTAATAGAATTCATCCGGTCACATGTTTCAACCTGCCAGACATGTATACAATGATGATCTGTTCCCAAGAGATAATGCCAATCTGTCGGACAAAAGCTGAATGTTGTTAAATGTAGTCCATTCAAATTAGTTTTGCACAATATTTCACAAGAATGAAAATCCCTGCAAAAAGTATGAATGGTGCAAATATAAATGGTTCAAATTAATCTACGAATTGTTTTTCTCATAAAATATCTCAAAATTAAAATGATTGCGTAAACAATCTGATAAATAAAACTAATGGTTCCGACTGGTGCTGGATTCGCTGATGTTGGCCACTATAAAATGTCATCAAATAAAACCTGTTTCCTGAATGCAAGAGTTAAACACAGACGTATGCTGATTAAGGTTCCATTAGACAAAGTCTTTTACAATGGTGATATTTATTTCTAAATTCACAAATAAACAAAGAATCGGGATATTTGTAAAGAAAGGGGTTATCAATTTTGACCAAAAATATTTATAAAATGGGTGTTCGTCAATGAAACTAGAAGTGAAATGGTATTCAACTACTGCTTTTAGTATTGAAAGTCATGAAAGTGAAGACAATAAAAATATCACTCTTGATTTTACTTAACCATTAGTAGATCCGGCTGTATAATTTTTAGTCAACTGTAGCATCAAATATAATGTCATGTTTTAAATTATGTGACGCTTGCATCATGGCTTTGAATTACGTTTTTTGATGACCAAAAAATATAAACCCATGATGAACATAACACACAGCTTATCATCTATTAAGCCATATAGAGTGCAGCATGGTGATAACTCAATGGATGGTTATGACTGAGTAGAACTTGTAACAGCACTAAAGGTTTCATAAGTTAACTATACCGGCAAACTAGACTTTTTAAAATATCTATCTGGGTTGATCTCAGAGGGCAATATACATCTATGAGTTAGGTTGTTATTACTGTCATTAGTCTGTAATTTCATGAGGGTTGTACTTCATGGCTGAGCTATGCGGAAAAAAACATACAGCCAACGGTGTTTATAATTCATGATCTTATTTTCAGATTAAACATGTTTTTTCATATTCGCATAACAGCTATCAACCGTCTCCTTCTCCGTTCAGAGTTTGTGTGCTAATATCTGATTACATACTAAAGGATGCCAGTCTGATTGCGCGATTAGTTTTACGAATGATTAAAGGAGATGAAACATGAATCTATCGATGCTAAGTCCCAAAACTTAACATTTAAGAGGAAATCACTTTTAAAGTTCACACACTAATCTGGAGTGAGTTATGTCCGTTCGTTTTTAGTGCTTATCTATCTGAATCGGTTCATTCTGTATGAGGTTAGTTTTCTGACATTTTAAGAGTTTAATTAAATTAATTAGATCACTGTTATTCTGAATTTAAATGATGGTAAAACAGCTAATAACTTTTGTGATAAGTAGTCACTGGAACTAACTCTTACAATAACAAATGGTGTCAAGCCAGATAACTGAAAGAGACACAAAATTCAGAACATTGATTTATACCAATAATTCAACTGACCATATAGATAGAATAAAATCAGGTATGCCAGACACTGTTGCATAATACTTGGTATAGGAAAAGATGGACTGTTGTATCTCCAATTTGGCAGCATCTGTTTGATCAAAATTGACAAAGCTTGCGAATCGGGCTGCAACTTACTTTTCAAAATAATTTCATCCTTTTGCGGATAACTGTAGACGTAAACCTTTGGGTTGACGTTACATAACTCTGTTACAGCAAAATAAGGTTCTAGTGGATGTATGGATAGAACAGTGGAGTATTTTGTGGGCAAATGAAGTGTTTCAACCTTATTAGTTAATATATCATGAAATTTTATTGATGGACCACATTTTATACACAAAATATGATCACCTAAAAATCCAAATTGAAACTTCTTCAGTCCTTGCACCCATCTAATGAAAATTAGCAATAAGCAAACGAATAAAGTCCATTTTGTGGATGGATAGCTCAAATCAAGTAAACTACAATATTGAATAATGAGAAAGTCTACATTTATATTACCATGCAGTGATGTTGTAGTGCGTGTGATAAATTTACTCAGTAAATAACAAATTAGAACTACTGCATTTTGTGTATACTTTGTAAGCCAATATAAATTTACCTAAAGGTGGATAAGTCACAGAAAATCAGGTTGGTTACTTGAGTTGCAAACTTTCCAAAATAATTTTCTACAATCTCTCTGGGACGTTTTTATTTTTTTAAAGGTTATTATCCCGTCAACTCATGTACTTCGGACAAAGAAATACTCAAAGATATATGTATTTCATGGAACGTTGAGCGAACATATGAATACATTTTTTTAACGTAAAACATAGTTACAGCAATAACAAACTGAAACACTGGATCACAAAATAAGTGAAATAATACTAGCTTACCATACACTAAATCATGATTTCACAACTATTATTTTCTATTCTCTCTCCCCTATCTCAGTGGGTTTTCTTATAAATGTGAAAAATCTAGATCAAATGGTCTAGGTCTGGAGTTTCGTCTTTCACTATAAATGGCAAACTTATGGGAGTGTCAACCAAACACAGAGCATCGGCGCATAATGTTGATAAATTCAAAGAGAGGTTACTACTATAGCAAGGATTACCAAAATCATCCTGAACCCAACCTTTGAAGACTGAAGAACCTGAGGATGATTATTTAGGTGTCAGACGTGATTTTTACACTTGAAGTTAGGAAACCTTTGGCGTCTAATACCCCTGACATTGAAAACTGGGGGTTCACGAAAGCTTTTAAAGATACTCGTCTGAGAAATCAACCTTATGTAATATAATAAATTATCAGAGTTTTACTTCCTGTCTCATTTTCCCCATGTATATCGCAACATAAATGTTACAAAAAAGAAACCTGCTGTAATATTCAGCGTATTTGAGAAAAACATAGTAAATGCATGTTGTTTGACTCTGTAAGATGAACTTTAATTGATTCATTACGATACATATTGTGGTTTATCAATTAAAGTGATTACTAATTATAATATCAATGCTTATGCAAAACGTTGTGATAAGTCACTTAACAAATATTTTGATTTACTCAGCATATAAGTGATTTATAACAAACTTTTGTGCAAGCACTGATACTATTATTTACTACCATCTATATTGAAGGTATATGGAAGGATCTCCACGGTAAGATTATCTTAAAGTAACTATACAGTACAAATCTAGAGTGATGGCATACTCGAAGGTCGTTTTCATTTTTTGCCTGTCGTCATGATGACAGAAGCTTAAACACATGTGATAAGTAATTTTCATCCATACTATTATTATAAATAATAAATGGTTTTTATTATGTGGCATAATATGTTACGTTTGATAGTCTTATACAATTATTGGAATGTGTGGTGCTTTTGATATCTGCGCAACATGGCCTTTGCGGCAGTTTCAAACGTACATTACTAATTTGCCCAACAATTCGATATCAACCATTTCCTTAGTGTTCACATTTATTTTTCAATAAAGATTTAAAAAGGATATACTATGCTCTCCATTAAAATGACAGTCGCACGCGGATTATTCATTCACTTCCGAATCTAAAAGATTATTCGCACTAGTGTTAAATGTCTGTTTCCATAAGTTCTTCACTGTTTACGGAAAATCATTGATGAACTTCTTCACTCAATTTCTTGAACTGTGGAACTCACGGTTTCCTGGCGATAACAAGGCTCCCCAGCTGGATTGTTTAAAAGCTGACCAGTTCAGTTCTGTTGCTGATCAAAAGCGTGCTCTGGAGGAACATTCGTGTAAATTGTCAATGACAATTGAAGAACTGAGACAAAAGATCGACTACGATTCTTTTACAAAGGAATATTTACAGAAGTGTATACAAAAGCTGGGTGCTATATCACAAGTTTTCAGCGAGTTTGAACATGTTGGTCCTAAAGTTTCTGGAAGTTCTAGTAGTCAACTTTCGCACATTAGTAATTTCCCTGGTGATATTTCGAGCAATATATTTTCTCAAAATACAACACCATGCTTTACGAACAATCCTTCTAATTTTTCTCTGCTTCCACAATGCATTGCATCAAGTCTTATCAATTCCGCATCTCCGCTTCTTGCAGCTGTAGCAACGTCTACTGCCCCTTTTTTATTTCCCTCGACATTGACACACTTTTCCTGCCCAGATGTGATCAAGTAAGTTTTTTTATCTATGACTTAAGTCATTGTTGTCATTCTACTGGATCGTTTACTTCTAAGATGGTAACTTCTTGCTATAATTTCTTTTGTTATTTGGTTTAAATCAATCCTTAAAAAACTAGTCTGAAATGTATATTTAGTGAGTGTTTGCACATTCTTACAACTTCAAGAATACTAGGGTGGAAACGAATAAAATATTTTGGCATTTTCATATGTGAGATATAGGAGTCCATTATACTGAGAATATCTTTGGGGCTTTTTGTTGTGCGCCAACTATCAGTTCTTTTATTGAATCACCTAATTGTCTGTTATCATACTTAGTGTATACGAGAGGGTGATTGTAACATAGATGGGTTCTGCATTTTAATCAATCTTCCAAAAAGTCTTGGCTGTAAGTCCTCGGGTAATATCAATCATTTTTCTCATATCCTGGAAACCAACATATGTTAACATCATCTCTCATTCTTACTAAACTAACTTGATCGTGTGTTGTAAAGTTTATACCGTTATCTATTACTTTGACTTCATATACATATCAGACTTTCAAGATTTTCGACATTTTGGTGCAACGCTTTCACCTTGAGCTTTGTATGACTTCAGACGATTCCAACAACAGAAGGTACCCCAGAGCGATTTTATTTTTGGTTTCTAATACCTTGATAATGACGGACCCTCTGAATCTCATCATTGTATTCTCTCGTAAGTTTGTGCACTTATGAGCCTATTTGATTTACAATTACGTTGCGTGTGACACTAGATGGTGGATTCCTGGCTATCATGTGCTTCTTAAAGGGATGGGAACTACTTGTGTATATTATTTATTAGTCATTTGAAACATCTTTGTTCCCACTTCCGAAATGTCTAATCAAGTAGTTGATATGACGAGATGAAAAGTCAAAATTAGATTGATTTACTCATTATGATTTCTGTTCAACATTAATTCTTTTAATTCAATGTGATGATTACTCAGTATAGTATTTGTTTTGTTTTCCCGTATGGCATTTTGTTCTATATAACATGCGATTTTCTCGTGTTAAGTTAACATGAACTATGCTCAGCATATGATTAGTTATAACTATTTTCTATATATGTGATTTTATTCTAATTCTTAATCAAAAGTGGGTTTACCAATCAATATATAAGTGGGTGTATTTCCGAATAGACTTGTCGTGGTTGTTTGTGATTCTGGCTGCTTGTCGAATATATTTCCCTCTTCTGAACCTGGACTCTCTCTAGTTAGCTGGGCTGGGTCGAGTCAGAATAGCTAGCTTTTCTGTCATCGTGCCTCAGAGAGTCTTCGTTCCGTTCTCAGATTAGGTGAACTCGTAATCTCTTCAAACGTAGCAGTAGTTGAATGTCTATTGATTATACCTCAGGTCGTTACAGTTTGAAATGTGTGTTATTGGACATAGAAACATGTCTGTTGATTCTGTGAAGTTTATTGGGATGTAGTTTATTAACGTATGCATAATTATCTGAAACGTGTTCTTCGATATTAAGTTAATAATCGATGTAACTTGATAATTTATTATATGCTTATATACAGGCTAGTGATAGTATTTTGTGATCCTGTGATTAACTCACTGTAACCTTGTTTTTAAGTTCGATTTCACTCGCCTTTTATTATACCGATGTAATAGTAAAAACCATCGTTATATTGATTGGGTGTTTACTACTACTTACTAATAAGAAGATGAAGTTTTTGGGTGATCAAACCGTAACGTAATGTCAAAAGAAGCTGTATCTTATTATGATGTGTGTTGATATGACCAAAACCTATCACCAATTCATAATATAACTTAGGAATCAAGTAAAATTTTATACATTATGCTTTGCACTCCAAGTACTGTATATGCCCGGTGCTACCTGATGGTCTGCATTTCCAAGTTCTGAGGGTGTTGATGAATGTGAACCGTAGGATCGTTGATATGAACAAAGGTTTTGTTTTAAAATTAACAGCGTACAGTCGATCTCAATATCTTTAGATGTACATACTCAGAATATTAGTTTGATAATATTGTTGCTGGTCTCAATAAGTTGTTAGTTGCCTATTTTACGGATTCAAAACTGGACCAGTGAAAATGTAAGATATATTTCTGTTGTAGATATTCGACCATAGATATCTTCAAATCATATACTAAATGTTGGGGTCACTTGAGAGCTGCTAATGTTGGCAGTATACTGTTAAGTGAAAGCTAATGCGGTGCCTAGTCATAAAGGCTGTCAAACCAGGATATAAAATCAAATCATCTCAGTAACCGATCAAGCTTTTGAATTGTGATCCGTCCTGTAAGCGTGCCCTGTGCTTAAAAAACCTTGTGTAATATACTTCATGGAGAAATGATTTTGCACTCACTGTTTACATTAATTCTGGAATTCTAATTCCTAGATTTCATTTCCTTCTTAAGAACTATACTTATTGTGAAATTCACTTGGTGTTGTTTACTTGTATCTTCCCATTGATATTCAGTACTGCAATTGCTCAGTCTCTTGTTGGCATACGTGCATACTGTGTGGATTGCCTCGATATTGCCTTAGGTCACAAGGTTTATAAGCAAAGATGGATTGTGGATAGCAATGGAATCCAGGACGCGCGTCTCGTCCTACCTGGGACTCGTCATCTGGATGTACCTGCATCTCAGAGTTGATGTTCACTCGGACTTGAACCCAGCACTATCCGCTTCAAACGCCATCGCGTTATCCACTTAGTTACTGAGTCCTGATAGCCACTTAACTGGTCAATTGCAGTCCTAAATAACAATCGGAAGATACAAGTAAACAACACCACGTGAAATTAAAACTTCACCCCATTGCACAAGCAGGTAGCTATCAGGACTCAGTAGCTAAGTGGACAATGCGTTTGAAGCGAACGGTACTGGGTTCAAGTCCCAGAATGAACATCAACTCTGAGGTGCAGATACATTCAGCTGACGAGTCACAAATAGGACGAGATGCGCGTCTTGGATTCCATCGCCAGACACTATCCATCTATACTTGTGTTTTTTCTGTTATTTTCGTTGCTGTTATTTCAAGTTCTTATGTTTTCATCTTGTTAATATCTTGTCATCTCACTGAAGCAGTGTATTGGCTTAAACTTACTTTTGTTCAAGATCCTACACTGATTGTGGTCATATGAATGTCCGTTTTGGTAATCTCTAGTTACAATTCTGTAGTCGAGTTAATAGTTGGTTAACTCATTTTCGCAGAATATCAACTGTATACATTGTAAATCTGGTTATCACATCTCAAACTGAACATATATACTCGACCGTTCGTTGAAGATTAAACGAGTAGTGGAGAAGTATCAACGTACATTAGCTGTGCGGCATTTTTTTGGTTCTATATTACCAACATCTTTGTATTATGAATAAAATACAAAATACATTGATATTAATGAGCTATTTGGATTACGGGAACGACGAAGAAATGCGGGTCTTAAAAATATCACTCCATCGTTTGATTATAATTTGTCTTACTTGTTTTAATTAATGTAAATTGAGTTAAACAATACAAAGCCTAACTATACAATATATTCGAGTAAAAAGTCGTTGATTATCAAAGACAACAAAAAAACTCGCATGAAACGCTATCCAGAAGGACAGTTGCAGTTTATCTGGTGTCAGTCAGTCAGTCAGTAACAACGTAGAACTTCGTACGTACGTACATCAGTTCGAGTTGCCACACCACATTAGCACAGAGATGCAGTGGCCGATTCAAATCCCGTAGTGGTAGAGGCGGTAAGAGTATAAGCAGTAATCAGGAAGATTAGGGTTTGAAGATGTTATTCAAGAAGTATAATCCAGTGAAATAAATTTGGAAAGAGGAAAAAAGAATGGGACATGGAGAATTCAGAAGATTAGAATTTGAGAGAACACAAAAAGTGGATGCACCTGCGCCATTGCAAACGATTTTGAGCCATGTCATTCAAGGTCTCTAACCATCGGTTGCTATCATCTCGCGGTCCCCAACCAGGTAGTCTACACCTACCAACATGACTCAGTTCACTTGTCAGTGACTTCATGGACTGGTGCCTTGTTTTGGTCTGGCCGCCTCTAGCTTTCTTCCAACCTACTCCTATACCACTGAACACAGCACGTGGAGGTAGTCGGTAGTTGGGCATACGTAACACGTGTCCCAGCCATCTCAACTGATGAAGTTTCACTACGTCATCAATTGATTTGCCATCCTTACCTAGTACCCGTTTCCTAACAACTACCTTATTTACTCGATGGTCCCATGATATACGAGCAATGTTTCGAAGATACCTGTGATAGAATACTGGTAACCTACGAATATCCTCTACTCTTACCGGCCATGTTTCACTGCCATAAATTAGGACGAAACGAACTGCTGGGCAGTAAACACGTTCTTGCCTACGCCATAAACGACGCAGGTTGGCAAAAGCTAGTCGAGCTTTCTGTATCCGTGCTGAGATTTCGTCACACACCAGACCATGAGGGCTGATGAGAATTCCAAGATAAGTGAAGCGGTCGACACGCTCAACTACTTGGCTCCCTATCATTAATTTGGGTGTCGATGTAACCCAATCCTGAAGTAACATTTTGCATTTCGAGGGAGAGAATCTCATGTCGAACATGCTTGCATTGTTGTTTATAGTGGTCAGAATGCATTTTGTCAGCGTCTTCACCAAATGGAACTATGTCATCTGCATATTCTAGGTCAAAAATTGTTCGTCAATATTCAGTTAGTTCGTATCCTCATGATTTAATTTTGTGTTATTTTAATACGATATGCCGTATCCAAAGAAATTTAGTCATAATTTTCTGTCTTAACAAAGTTACGTAACTATGACTTTGATTAACATAATTAATGCACGATACGTACACTGAATCTACGATAATGTAACTTAGTTTCCAGGTATTCGTTCGTGTATTTGGCTTTAATCCTCATTTTTTGAAAGAACTGTGACAGCATGGAGTTTGAACCATAATTCATTGGTTGAAACCAAACACTTTAACCCTTTATATTTACTGTATCTTGTATATTTTTTGTTTTCCACCTTATCTTTTGTGAGATATTTCCAAACATAAAACAATTTCGAAACGCATCTTTTTAGTGTTTTCGAATTTCTATACATAGTTTCTATGAATGTTCTAAATTTTTTTACAATATTTTATCCTGTAACAGGTCTGATCCGGATCAAGTTTCACAATCCAATAGATCACGTGGTTCAGGGGACCACTGTCTGGTTCAAAATCATGAACACCAGTCATTTGAGCTCACCCCATCTCCTATTCACAACAACTTGTTTTGTTCCGGGACAAATTATCCTCCTCCAACGGCATCTCGACCTCTACCCCATGAAACAGGAAGCTGTGTTAAATCTGATTACTCGGGCAGATTAAACGATGGTTTATCAGGATCAACTACGGATGCTCAGGCGGCAGCTGCTGCTGTAGCGGCTGCTTTTGGACTCAATTTTACTAGTGGTGGTCCACTTACTGGTAGCAACAGTGTGATGGGCTTTAATAAGCAAAGAAATCAGTCTGGCTCTAGTCTTCTCCAAATCTCGCCAATGAGTTCTATCAACGGTGTAGATGGAAAGGAAGAAGATAGTTCAGTCGAGCGTCCTTTCCAGTGTATGACATGTTCGAGAAGTTTTTCTGTGAAGGCGGGTTTAGTACAACATATGCGCACACACACAGACGAGCGGCCGTACCCATGCCTTCACTGTGGACGAGCTTTTAAGCAAAAAATTCAGCTCACCACACATATGCGTGTACATAGTGGTGAGCGTCCTTATGGTTGCCGTTTATGTGGTAAATTGTTCAGGCAGCAAAGTCATGTGGTCCAACACCTACGAACTCATACAGGAGAAAAGCCACATAAATGCTATCAATGTGGTAAAGCTTTTCGTCAAAAATATAGTCTTATTTCCCACCAGCGTCGCATGTGTCGCAATCGTTCTGCTTCTAACCCTATTGCAGCAGGAATGACCATGTGGATAAGTCCAGGAGTGGATGGTGATACTGGTAATCTCATTAAGGAATTCTCTCCCAATAAAGGCAATTCGTCGATCGCAAGTCCGAATGCTTCATTGTCCACTCCAATCTCAGTTATGACGTCTCTCCAATCACCTCCATCTCCGTTTCCTTCCTCACCGGTGTCTAATACTCACGCACTTCCACAAAACCAGTTTCAGACTCCAGTTAACATAAACGGTGATTCACACCGGGAAAATTCAGTTACAACGAGATCCCGTTGCAATTCTCTGTCAAAAAGCAAGTATGAATTACAGGATTGGTCTCGTTCTCTTTCAAGGCATCCATCACGTCTCACATCAGAAGGTGATCCTATTCATAGTCCTAGAACTTCAAGGTCCAGCGCACTGCAAGGTCATGCTACGATGGGACTTACTTAATAGAAGTCATGAAGATTCTCGTAATTCATAATGATTTAGAATACATATAATTTCTTTTTTTGTCGAATTATCAACATTTTATATTAATAACGATGTTCTGTTTTACGTAATTTTACTAAACATACAGCTGTTATAAGTCAACTCCCAATATTAGGCACACATTGGATGCAATGAAGTTTGCCTTTTTAAAAGATTGTTGAGGCACCCACTCGAACACTTTCACCTATAAAAAACAATTTCGATTATTTTGTCACTGTCTCATTTTTTTTGCTTCCTACTGTTATGATAATGATTCTTACCATTTCTGTTATATCTAATCAGAACTGCGAGAATTATTTTAAATATCTGTTCACTCTTCAAACTTTCCACTCATAAGTGGATTCCAACCACTCGCGCACGAAAAACCTGCTTCTATTTTGTAAAGTGCTTTCAAAATCTTTTTGCTTCACTGTTTTCCCCATCATCAATTGATTGAAAATGTTTCAGCCAAGATACACAAGTTTCATCGAATTATATGTTATAATGGATGAAACTGAACAAATCAGTTTAAGTTTCGATATTTTTGATTAAAACAGGTAGATCGTATTTATCATTCATTCCGCGTTTGTTTGTTTTCGGTGTTATCTTTTCTAACCACCCTATGTTTGTATTACGGAATAAATTAGTCATTTATATCATGTGAATTGATTTGAACATAGGAACTTAGGCTTTATGAATACCTTTGTTGTGTATTTGGCCCTAATTTTACGCAAATATTTTTTATAACTGATATCTGTTCGTTGTTTGCGTCACATTTAAAATTCGATCTTGCGATAATGTTTTCATAATTTTTAATAAGTTTTTTTTGATAAAGTCAATAAGATATTTCCTTTAACAAAATGCTACATAAGTAATTATTGAGCTCACATTCAAAGTATTATTTTTGTATACGATACCAGTATGATTTGAGCTCTATAGTTGGTTGGATTCATTTAAGGTTATAGTGCTTGGCTCTTCATCGGGAATATTCACATACATCTAATTACTTCCAGTATATGCCATTTTGCCAACCATTCACATTTACCTTAACAATCTAAAAAGTACCTATACCCTATGAATGTGTTGACATGTAGTAGTGATTCTAAAAACGGTGATTCATCTTATTACTGTGGATGATGTGAATGCCACTGACAAAATATTTCAATACCTATATAGAGCTAAGTGCCATCTATTTTAGTACACGTTTGCAAAACTTCTTCATGATTAAAAATATTAAGTGGACGAAATGTTTTAATGGAGCTACTGAGTAAGCAGTAGCAGTATTAATACCAGTCAAAGTCAATTAATGAGGTTTTAATTAAAAGATTCGTAGAAAATCCAAAGCTATGGCTTAACGTTGTGGGAAAAGCATTTTTTAATGTACAGGTGCGTTCCCAATTAACTAGGGGTAGATTTTTAGTCGTTTTTTGATGATAATAATAATAATAAAGAATTCAGAATAATAACTAAAAATGTTATTTTAGATGTTATATCAACTTTGTAAGCGTTCACAACTATGACTGCAAATAAGAAAGTTAGTGAAATTCAACATAAATTTTAGTGTTTTGCTTCTAACAATAAGTTTCACCATTCTCGTTTATAATCATTGGATGTGGCTTTCGCTAATTAAATGGGCTTTCATGTACATCAAACATGTTTACTCTCGTAACATTGCTAGTACCTGTCATGAATTCGACGATAAAGTCCCTACACTGGTTTGTACCTTTGAGTCATTATCATATATTTGGTCAGACATTACTTGATTAAATTGTTTAGAAGTCTTAAACTAAGTGCCCAATCATAATTACATTTCAGCTCCTTGATAACATTCCGATTTATGTCCTATTAAATGCTACTAGCAGATTAAGTAACTGAAAAATATATATCAGAAGATATTCGAAATAAGTAGCCTAACAATGTGAAATGAGGCGTCCTAGTAAACCAGTAGTTTTAAAATAAAAGGTTTCTATATTGCTTCATTTTCCAATGGCCATCTGTAATGTTCATAACTAAGTGACATTGGAAATTGTTTATTTATTTCATTCTTAGTATTCGCTGTTCTTTGTACCACATACTGTATGTAATAAAAGATGTCTGGCCCCTTTTAAGTTCATTTTGTAAACTAATAATTCGGAATCATTGGCCCACGTCTTTCACTCGAAAGAAAACATTGTATACTGAACCTTTGTACTATAAATACAAGTACTTCTGGGCATCATAAATTTATTTAAATTTATGATATCTTGTTTTTCTATGACATTTAAGTAACCAACAACAATGTAAATAGTGTGACTACTTTAAGTGTCTTAGGTCGCATGAATTCGTGGTTGTTTTTCATGAAATCCGGACATAACACTATTGAGAAACTCTATCGATGTTTAAGTCGGTTTTTGGACTTTGTTAGCGCCAATAGTTGAGTAACTGCTGTTCTAACTTAATACTGCTCTGGATTGTGTTGTGCCAATTCAAACACTTATGTTCCTTCGGAGGTCGGCCAGACAGGCAAGTTTATTCCCAAACAATCAAATGGATTCAGTTTAATCCCTTACGTTTTTTGGTGCAGTAAGTTGACTAAAATCCCTTACCAGTTTGTTTAAATAGCCTATCTTGTATTTCTTTTATATTTTTTGTACGAATAGTTAACTATCTAAATTTAATAAGAAGCATCGTTTTCTACATAGTTCTGGAGACTGATTTCCCTAGTTTCGTTCTGTCATAAATTTATTATACACGTAAATTTAAAATGGAAATACTTTCAAAGCGTTAAATGTACTTTTTACTTGAAATGAATCATCTTAGTACTCCAGATTTTCCTAAAATATTTCAGTGAATTGTTCAGCATAAAATATTCAGAAGACTGCTATCAAGTTATACTCGCGACCTTAGACTAGGCCATAACGTCAATGGCTGAGGTAATAAGATACCGTTAGGTCTATGTGGTTTCTCTCCAACTGGATAAAACATATATACCCCATCACCAATTATTTACAAAGAAAAAAACGCTTGAGAGAAACTATCAACGTTATCATATTTCATTTCATAAATCTTTTGATATTTTATATTAAGTGAATAGTTAAAAAGGAAATGAAAATTATGCAGATAAAATGTGGAAAGGAAAAACAAAGGGCATACGATCACCAATAAATGACAGTTGTCAAAAAAGCTAAATTAATCTCTAATCATCAAGATGTAAGGAAAATAAAAGAGCGAAAAAAATCATCTTCAAATAACTTAAAAAAGTCTGGACAATTATATAGGAAGTCACTGATAAATACTTGTTCACATCATACAGGAAAAATCATATTTTCATATGAAGTTTCACATGTTATTTTTCTAAATAAGTTCACTCGTTTAGTGTTCGGGTATACAACAAAGTATATGATGTCAGATTTTTAATCATTACTGTTTTTATTCACTTCGGTATGTATAAATATAGTGTGGAACACTCGACATATATTGAATAACCATTACAAGTGTCCAGGTCTCTTTTAATAAGCAAAGATATAAAATTTATTTATCGAATTTAGGTTTATACACATTATTTTAAGTAAGATTTAAGAATTATTTGTTCAGAACAAGTACAAAGAGTTGTGGTTCTGATATACAAAGCACAGGAGAGTTATCATCTTACAATGACGTAAAATATCAATAAATAGCTCCGTTGATCTGTTGAAATTGTATACCAGTTAAGTTCATAAAGGTGTACTGTTGCTGGAAATCGTCAAATTGTTTTGAAGCAAATTCATTTGAATATTCTACAACACAGATATGACCTTACAGTCTGTTACCAGTCGTTGAGTTATTCCATTATTTCTGTAAAAGTTTGATGAAATGAACTTGTTATAAGACTTAAGTAGGGTTCCACTTAATACCACTAGCCCACTAACTACACCATGTTGGAAACTACTTCAGAACTAAGGAGTTTTTCTACAAAAGTTCAGCACCAAACAAAATTAATTTAAGTGATGAAACGATGGATTTTAACTGCCATCCATACTTTTGATTGTATGCTAATGTAGCTGTCAAGCTCTTGCATAAAGAGGGAAATCTTGACTAGATTCTACGCTTGTTTCGTGAATTACCATGGACAGATACCATTTCCAAAAATACATGCACTTTGTGTGCTTACTGAATCTCTTCTAGAATCTCACACTACTCTGCATACAACGCACATTTAGGTCAGTCTTAAGCCTACCAAAGGCTGAACATTGCATTTTTTGTTGACAGTATCATCAACGTTAGGATGCTGATGATCAAGGCATTTAACATGTTTTCTTACTGGCTTTTGTCCGCACTAAGCTTGAACAGATTACTGACGTTGTACTACAAAACCAAATTATAGTTTAATATGATCTATTTCAACCTAAGCCTGTCAGTTAAAACTAGGGCACAAACGTGACTATTGCATACAAAGCTGTTCAAAACCACATAAGATAGGTGGTTTAGTGATGACTAAGATAGTATTATGGATAATCTCATTCATTTAGATTCACTCGTAAATGTAAACTAAGATTTCTTACCATACAGTATATTGAGGTTCTGCTCATATACTAGAAAGAATAATCTATTCTATAATTTAATTTACACGAATCACAAATTGTTAAATTAATGTTAACAAGATACAAGGGAGTCGAATACACTGATTGTGACCGATACAGCGTTTTCAAGTTGGCGACACCGAGATGTTTAAGTGAAATTCGAACATGCCGACTCAACCTAAGAATGAGATTTCTGTTTGCCTAAATGTAAGACACACATACGTCTTATAGAATCACTACTTGGCCAGGCAAGCCTGGAAAGCATCCACCTTATAACTGTATGTCCTTTACATTTCCCATTATGTTAAAACACAATTGTATGAACGAAGAATATTCTTTTCAATAATTTCTCATCAGGTTCTACAACTATAAATCCAAATCAATAGTCCATAAAATTGGTCAGATTTACGGCAGAGTACATCATTTGGAAATTGTAATATGTGAATTGAGAATTGTTGTTTGTTATATAAAATCAATTCAGATCGTTAATGTTGGGGCTGTTTAATAAAAAGTGTTCACTTGAATCAGTTTATAAGCGGAATGAAATTGTGCGATAAATGATCAGAATAAATATGGTCAACATGGGGTGAGAGAGAAAATAATGGAAAAAAATCGGAGATTACGTAATATGAATTAGGTCAGATATAGTTGATTTAGGGGTGGATATTGAATAAATTCCTCATAAGGTTATCAAGTGTAAAGATAATGATAATGACAATAATAGTAGTAATAACAATAACTTGCTCCACAGGAGCAAGTTATATTGGCAGATGTCCTAGGAATCTGTACTATTCGAGTTCGTGAGCACCTCCCCGTGTGGTTGAGCAAAGGTGTTAACAGCTCCATCTTAGACTATCTAGTTCAAACAGGACGTACAGCCAACATGGAGCAATCTTTTGCAATAATCTATCGTGATAACAGCAGTCTACCGGATCCCGTCAGACTGCGAATCCTACAGACGGCTGAAGCAATTGCTAGTCGGATCAAAAAGCCAGAGCTTTGCATTCAAAAGAAGTATGTTCAGCCACTCCTTTTACCCTGGCCAACTAGTTAATAATTAATTTTATGATATGATGACGCAATCTGATTAATGTTGATTTTATGCCCCAAACTTATTATTATCTTTACACTTGATAACCTTATGAGGAATTTATTCAATATCCACCCCTAAATCAACTATATCTGACCTAATTCATATTACGTAATCTCCGATTTTTTTCCATTATTTTCTCTCTCACCCCATGTTGACCATATTTATTCTGATCATTTATCGCACAATTTCATTCCGCTTATACCCGACCGAAGCTGCTACCTTGACGCGGTGGTCGGGCTTGCCTATCGTGATGACCCAGCCGAGCTATATTGGCTGGAACATATGTTCCTGTAGGTTCTACCATGCCAGGCAGGTCGATTGGAGAACAGTAAGACTAAAAGCAGCAACTCAAGGTCTGAGGGCGAAGTCGTACTGCTGACTGTAGAGGGGTGTGACAGCAGTAAGGTGTTTTCCTCGGACAACCAGCATCTGCAGCGATGCTGCCTTCCCACAAGGAGGGATGGGGTTAGAAAAGGTCGACCCTAAAAATGTCACACCTCACCTTACCTCACGGATTTCCGTCTTCGGCGGTAAGGCCCTTTGATGAACGGAGCTAACACGTCAAAAACCTTCCACAAAAAGGCCGTGCGCGACCGGCCTCAATCAGTTGTTCCTTGGGCTCCGCGGTCACGCTCCCAGGTCGTCAAGACCAACACTAATCCAATTTCCTTTTCAGGTTCCTCAAGAAATACCCTTCCACGGTGTGGGCAGCCGGGAAGTGACATCAGCCCTCATACCCGTAACAGCACACGAGACCGATTTGGTCACATTCAAATCCTTCCTACACCTCCTAATACCTCCTTTATCTCCATGACTAACCCTTCTCACGTCTCTTTGCCACCTCGCACCGCTAGGGCAAACGATTCGAGTACACGGAACGCTATTCCTGGTCTCCTGAAACCACGCTCTAAACTACACGTAGGAGCTTTTAACGTCCGAACACTGTGTCAAATAGAACAGCAGACTTCCTTAGCTAGGACTTTAGAATCTCGCGCCATCCATGTGTGCTGCGTCTCCGAAACGCGCATACAGGATCCGAGTAGCGTCATTCATTTGACCTCACCATGCCAAAATAAAGAACCGACACGATTTACGCTTCGTGTATCTGGAAGCCCTGATTCTGCTTCCCGTGGCCTCGCCGGCGTAGGTATAGCATTGAGTCCAAGAACAGAACTAGCTCTCTTAGAGTGGATCCCAGTAGACAGCCGTTTGTGCTCTGTCCGACTGAACGGAACAGTAAGGATCCGAAAAGATAGGGACACTCGTCGTTGCCTCTCCGTCGTTTCTGTCTATTCTCCTACTGACTGCAGCTCAGATGATGTAAAAGATGAGTTTTACAGAAAGCATCTTTTAACATGGCGACCCCATAATTCGTTCCAACGTTGGACCCAAATAGATCACATCGCTATCAGTCACCGATGGAGGGGCTCGATAGAAGACCGTAGCTCATTCTGGAGCACATGCTTAGATTCAAATCATGCTCTAGTGTGAGCGCGTATTTGCTTGTGTCTTACTGGACGTAGGAAAGACGCTGCAAGGAAACTTCTTAGGGGCCTACTTAATGATAGTCAATCTAAGAGTATATTTCAGGAACAACTAGGAAAACAGTTAGGCAGCCATGTAAGTGATGCCCACCCCGATGCAGCATGGAATGATATCCGAAAAGCTGTGGAAACAGCAGTGATATCTGCTAGTAAGGTAAAACAGAAGGTTAGGGAGCAACACTGGATCTCAGCAGCATCTATCGCACTGATAGATGCTCGGAAACTCATTCCACCTGGCTCTGAACATAATGAAGAGCGGAGTCAGCTTAAGAACAAGCTGACAAGAAGCCTACGCAATGATCG